GAGAGTAGGAAAGGAAGTGATAACATGATTAAAGGATTTATTGAGAAAAAGAATTATAATTTTCCAGGAAAGCTTTTTAAACCACCATAGGTACCCAAAATGTTGCCTTCAGATAAGATGTTGCCTTCGGATAATATGTTGCCTTCGGATAAATTATTGCCTTCGGTTATAATAGTATCCACGGACATTCTAGTTGTCTTCGGTTGAGTCAGTGTGCGTTTGACAATGCGCTACGAGTTTTGGGGATGTCTGAACCTTGTGGTGCGAGGAATGTGGCTCAGGTGGACCAAGTGTCCCTTGAGTTTTGCGAGGAATGCGGCTCAGGTGACTTTGTGTTTCCGAGACCTGCGAGAATGTGTTGCATTATGTGACACAAGGAATTGACGGTATAACGTGGGAAAAGAATATAAAGATAATGGAATTGACGGAATTATGATGGGTACACCTAGGTGGGAAAGAGATTATTTCTTTACAATGCTTTCGAAAGGTTTTGATGATTGGATTGAATGCAAGATTAGTTGTATGTATATAAATATGCATGTCTTTATTCTTGTACGAACATAGAACATGAATACAATCGAATTTTCTAAATGTTTTAACAGTGGGATTAGTATGTTAATACTTTATTTTCCAAAACTTTATTTTTGTCCACTCACACTTTTAAATGTTTTACGCCCCCAGGCAGTAGTTGTGTACCAAAGCACCACCACAAGGCGACCATCACTCTTCATTCCTTCTCTTTCTCTATGTAGGATGTTTCCTTACAACTATTTTTTTGTTGTAAAATTACTAGATTAGTATTGCTCTGAAATTGCCCTAGGATTTTCTGTAAGGCTTGAGGCTAATAAGTTCTGCTGTTGGATTTGCTTGAATTCAAACTTGTTGCATGCTGAACTGTTGAGGTTATAAATTCTTTTTCTTACAGATGTACAATTTTGGGAAACAAGTATTTACAGGGGAAACTCTGCCGAATTTTCAGTAGAAGTCAAACTTGAAGTTAATTTTGGTTTTTGTTAGAAGGGCAATTTGGTCAAGTGTGCCCGGCACCTGACAGGTGTCGGACACACACATGGTTCAACTTAGATTCCGAAGTGGAATTTGGGTCGGGTCCTATCATTTTTCGCCTCTCACTTTTTTGTCACATGATTTTACACAAAGGGGAAATGTATCTTCTTCAAGCTTTATGCAGTACAAGGATGTAGATGTGAAATTTCAATTTCATGAACTTCTAAGAATTTCCCTAAATCAAGTGACAACAAGATGAACACCAATACTATTACAAGTTCCATCACATCAGAGATGATGTCTTCTAGAAATAAGCATCCATGCCCAAGCATATCATCTTCAGCTTCTAACTCAAAGTTTCTATGTGTTTTAATATACCCTCGATTACAGACTTTTCGATGCTAATTAAATCTTTTGAACCCTTAAGGATTCAGATAAACTAGATTACCTGCATTAGCTAGCTAAAATGGATGCAAAACTATACAACGTTCAACAAAGACAAATAACTTAACACTTAAATACTACAGTGATTGATCCTGTAACTAATTTACCACTCTTAAACACTACGCAGTTAAATATTAACAATCATAACTCATTCATCTCCATTTGGATCTAGAAGAAGACAGAGAAAAATAAAATTTGGTCATACTACTTGTGTTCTTTGTTTTCCCAAAGAAGTTAAATTTTGAACTAACCAAACAGTATCATTCACGAAAAAGTAGAACGCAAGACTTCTTCTTAAACATAAAAGAGTTCATCTAATACTCGGATTTTTTCAGCAACAAAACTCAAATCATGTTCTTAGCAAGAGTTGTTCACTTAATTCTAAAAGAATTAAACAATATAGACACAGGCAGGGGCGGCCCTGGGGTGGTGCAAGTGGCGCCACCGCACAGGGCCTCCAATTCTTAAGGGCCCCCGAAAAAAAATTTCTTTATATTATATATATTAATATTATATGAATCGTATATATAGTATAGTGTCTGGATATTTGCACAACAGTGTTTTCAAGGGAGTTGGATGGAGCGCATGCCTCTTTCGTAAAAGGGCCCGAGTTCGATGCTCCTTGAGGTCGTTCTACTGGCTAACCTTTTTTGATATTATTTTTGCATTCAACTTTACATAATTATAAGGTTTAAATAAAATAAAAAAACAGAGAGCCTTTTACAAATAGGCAACGTGGAAGCTTAACCCCACCAAAGGGGGAATATATATGATATATCCCCCAAACGTTCTCAAAAATAAAATAAAAAAGGTTTTCTCCTCCAAGAAAAGTACTTTCTTCATTCAAAACACCATGAAAAAGCTTCATGGCTCCTTCTTTCTCTTAAACTCTGATTTTTGGGTAAGTAATCATCATTGTTCATCAATTTCTCTTTGGTTCTTCTTTTTCAATCCTTTGACAATTTTTGTTATTCTTTCAATTTCAGGAATTTGAACACCAAAAAGAGAAAACCCTAATTCCTGAATTCATAAAGACCACTCAAAATCAAATAGTCATATTCAAATCTCAATTCAAATTCAAGTATGTATCAAAATTTCAATCTATTCTATATATTACATGACTTATTTTATTAAATTATTATCATGTTGATGATTGGTTGTATGAGAATATAGTTTGTAGAAATATTTATCTATTTCTTGTTGGGGTTTTCTTCCAGGTTATAGGGTTTTGGAATTTTTCTTTGTAATCTAAACATGCCACCTACTAGAAAATACGTTTCTGGATATACAAAACAGCTTAGAAAAAGAAAAATCAAGGAATTGACTCAATCTCAAAGAGGAGCTCTTGATAAATCCAAATGCATTCATTGCATATAGAATCCTATTGACTATTCCTGTTACTGTTGCATCTGCAGAAAGAAGTTTTTCAAAATTAAAATTGTTAAAATCATACTTGCGATCAACTGTGTCACAAGAAAGATTAAATGGACTAGCTTTGATTTCAATTGAAAGTGAACTTCTTGAAAAACTTGATTATGAACATTTGATTGATGATTTCTCTTCTAAAAATTCAAGAAGATCAATTTTCAGACATTAGTATTGTACTAGCTGTGGTTTTTTTTTCTTTTGGGGTAAAAGCTCTCGTAATAATTTTAATTCTTCAAATAAGACAGCAAATACAATGTGAATAATTTTTGGATAATCAGGTATGTTTTTGTTGTTGCTTTTTTGTTTAATGCAATATAATCTAATTTGTTAATGACATTTGTGTGCAACTACTCTTTAATTTGTGATTGCCAATTTTTTTTTTCTATTAAACACAGATTGCTTATTGGAGGCAGCAAAGGACCTTACAGGGGCACAAGGAGCTTATTTTTGTACCAAACATTTAACTTTATCAAATGGAAACATTTAAATTTTTATGAATTTGATTTCTGATTGTCATTGCATATTTATTGATGGTGAATTTTAGTTATAAAAAAAATTGTTTATGATAGTAAGTTATGGCAAATTTTTATAGTATTTTCGTATTAGATTATGTGAGGCCCAATTTAAGTTTCGCACAGGGCCCTCAAAATCTCAGGGACGGCCCTGGACACAGGTTTGGTGAGATTTACATAAGTGAAGAAGATAATTCATGTAATCACGTTACCCTAAGATGGAGAGAATGATTAACTGCAAGACACAAGGACCATGTCTAATACCCTAAGATGAGTGATTCAATCTCATGGATAAGCACGTTAGAGTTTGAAAGAGTCACAGAAGGGCATGTTTAATCATAAATTGGCATAAAATCATAACAAACTAACATACCATCCAATTCTCTCGGTGAGATATCTTTGCAGTTTCAAAAGATGACTCTGAATTAATGTGCAATTCCTTTGCCACGTCATGAGTATGAGAACTGAAGATGATAATGTTGATGGTGATTATAAATTGAAGTTCATGAATGATTACCCCTTGATTCATGTGGAAGTGGTGACAGTTCTTCCAGTGATGAGGAAGAGATAAATATCTCAGCAGATATGTTGGAGGATTCTTATGGTTTTGATTATGAATCAGATGGTAATCATGCTTTGGATACAACTATTGATGCAGGACAAGATGCTAAAGATAATGATTATGAAGACGGTGAAGTTTGAGATTCAATTGAGCAGACTGCTGTAGAGGAACTCATGTGTAACGCAAGAGATGTGGAACATGTTGATAATTATGATTTTGATATGACGGATTTTAATTTCTCTTTATAAAGATTCAAGATACCGTGCTGATATACATCATGAGAATCTATAATCATGAATCATGAACCTTCTAAGTAGAAAGATTGCCAAATCATGTTGAAAGCTATAATTCTCATGTAAACGGTTGTGAACTTCAAACCATACTCAACTATATCACTTATAATTTGAACTAAAACATAGCCAACATGCTCAACATACTTGTTAATATTTAAACTCAGAAACATATTGAAACCACACTAAACACGTACAAGGGGGATGCGTTGACCAACCATGCACGTGCAAAGTAAACTCGCTAAATGAGCAAGTTGGGGACTAGGGAGGGGGAATAAACTCATTGAACTTGTCGGTCATACACTTGTGTAAAACACATTTACAAAGTTAGAGCGGGTAATCTGCTGGTCATAAACTTGTGTGAAACACATTCATACACGCAGGGTAGGGATCCACTGGTCATACACTTGCGTAAAACACATTCACAAAAGTAGAGCGGGGAATCTGCTGATCATACACTTGTGTGAAAACATATTTACACAATTAAAACAATCACATGTCCCTTGTGTACACAAACTTTGAACTTGCTACAAGTACTTGGCAAGGGAACGATACTCAATTTACTTTATAAAACTTTTTTTACATTTCAAAGCCTTCTCATAAATCCTTTGAAACCTTTCAACCAAGCTAATTCACTAAACTTAAAATATAATTGGTAATAAAATCATTTCCTTATGAATTGATGGTTTGTTTGTTTCTTTTTGTTTTGAGTCAAATGACTTAATTAGGGGTTTATGATTCTCCTTATACAGGTTTGGGATGAAGCATGTTGTGGTTGAGGGTGGGCGCCATAGGTTCCAGTACACGTACAAATGGTTTATCAGGGGAGATATTGTTGGCCTGATGAAAATCAAAGAGTGTGATGATCAAGTGAAGACTAACCCAGTCTCAGTGTTGGACAAGAAGATAGATAAGATGAGAGTTGGTTTGAAGAGAGAGATAAAGGAGGTTGATTAGAAGATGGTGCAAAACATGGTCCAAACGACGCAGAATATGATGCTAAAAATAGGCAAGGTGGAGGACAACATATGGGTTGCGTTGAAGATAGTGATATAGCGAGCTGTGTAAGTGCCATTAAAAACACTGGTCTAAATATGAATCTCTCTCTCTCTCTCTCTCTCTCTCTCTCTCTCTCTCTCTCTCTCTCTCTCTCTCCCCCTAGTGCTTTATGGATACAATGTCGTTGGTTTTTTTTTATTAGGACAAGATTTTAAGTTGGCCTCTATCACTTTAAGTTGGCCGCTCATAGGTGACGTGACAAAATTTCACCACCGGTAAATTCTCAAATCAGCTATCACCACCAATTCAAAATTAAAAATAATAAGGAGATAAAAAACTTTCATACCTGGGTTGACATGAGATTTAGCCAAGAATGACTGGAAACAAAGTCGATCAGCTTTTTGTGGTGATGGTTGTTTGATCTCTCGAGGGTAGGTGTGCACCGTCAAGAGGAACAAAACTCAAGTTGTTTAGTTCTAAAGAAGAAGAATGATACACTTCACTTAGGTGTTGACGATCGAGAGCTAAATAAATTAACTATCAGAAACAATTATCATTTGCCTAGGATCAACGATTTTTTAATCAACTACATGAGGCACATATATTCTCGAATATTGAATTGAGCTCAAGTTATCATCAATTAAGTGTGAACGAGGCAGATATCCCTAAGACAACCTTTTGAACCAAGTTTTTTTGCACTACGAGTTCCTTGTCATGCTTTCTGGGTTGACTAATGCGCTTGTAGCATTTACGTATTTGATGAATCAAGTGTTTAATCCCTGCTTGAAGAAGTTTTTTTTGTAGATGATTTCTTGATATACTCCAAGTATGTGGAAGAACAAATTAACATCCTAATATCACGCTTCAAACATCGAGGGAGAACCAATAGTATGCAAAATTAGAGAAGTGCGACTCTTGGAAGGATCAAGTTAAGTTTCTTGGTCATGTCATCTCTAAGGAGGAAATTTCTATTTATCCCTCTAAGGTTGAGGTAGCGAAGATTCATTGTCAACCAACTTCAGTTACAGACGTTCGTAGTTTCCTTGGTCTAGCTGGTTATTATTGGAGGGTTTTTTGCGTATTAGACCTCCATTAACTCACTTGACGAAGAAGGATGTGACATTTATTTGGATTAAAGAATTTAATAAGTCTTTAAAGAATTAAAAACTAGGTTTATTACATCCCCAGTTTTGACTATTCTATGAGTGTTAGTGGACTTGTTATTTACAATGACGCATCACACCAAGAATTAGGATGTATATTAATGAAACATGGCAAAGTGATTGCATATGCCTCTAGATAACTCAATGTTCATGAGTTAAGTTGACTGCAGTTGTTTTCTCCTTTAAGATTTGGGTGCATTATTTGTATGGTGAGAAATTTGAACACTTCTCTGATCACAAGAGTTTGAAATATCTTTTTTCTCATAAAGAGATGAACATGAGACAACGAAGGTGGAGGAAACTTATAAAATATTATAATTTCACATTAAGGATCTATCCATGAAAACACAAGTAAAGATCCCATCCATGACAAGTGAATCATTTTGTATGTCTTAATTTTTGAAGAAATAATAAGGGTTCAAGAGGTAAGTCACCATATGTAATGGACTATCAAGTCAAGCATGGGCTTTCGCATCAACAATTTGTAGGATTAGACGATAGTTGGCCTTGTGATTTTTGATTGTTCTTTAATCTCTTCCTTTTCTTCTAGTAGTTCTCCATACAAAAAAGATATTGATGGACTTTTATCCCTATCAACAAGGTGAATCACCTTAACTAAAGGAGCAAACACTCTCAAGCAAAGGGATACCCAATTCCAAAAAGCTATGCTAAAAATGGTGGAATATATCACTTTCCCCTTTGTAGACTTGCAATGTTTGCATTGATCCCATGCATCACTAGCAACCATAGATCTCAACTCATTCTTCTTGTCCTTCAAGATTTGCAAAGTTAGAAAAGAAGTTGCAAATCTACTTACTCCCTGCCTCACTATGTCTCTTCTTTTCGTATACTTCCTCATCAATGCCAATGTGTTAGGATGTGCATATATGAAGATACTGAATGACTTTGCCTTCTCAATCACTCTTTTGAACTTAGTTAGGTTACCAATTGCTTAAAGCATAAGGTTTAATGTGTGAGTAGTATGAAGTCCATAACATGTTTGGCCTCTTCTCCTTCCCTTCAACATATTTGTGGTTGCCATATTATTAGAAGTGTTGTCTGTTACCACTTGAACTACATTTTGTGGCCCAACTTCTTCAATGCACTTGTCAATATATTCAAAGATATATGACCCGGTGTGTGCTTCCTTGGAGTCTTCCTATAAGGAAGAAAAGTGGTGCTTTCCTTGCAATTGACACATAAATTTATGATGCTTTTTCTTTTCCAGTTGGTCCAAGCATTGGTTATAATTGAGCAACCATTTCTAGCACTCTCTTCTTCTTGCTTCTTGAGTGCTCAACCTCTTCCTTCAATAATGGATCCCTTAATTGGTATTGGCTTGGAGGTCGGTAATCCGAACCAAATTGGTCAACCACTTCCACAAATCTTTTGAAACTATCATTAAAGGAATATATGCTTCATACACCCATTAAGCCAAATATTGATGCACTTCCTGTGTTCTTTGCTTGAAAAGTGCATCATTGATATTTTGTTGTCGCATCCTCTTTCTTGCATCCATTGAAGGTTCGATATTGATAGAGGATGCAAACTTATCCATAGGCGAAAGTGTGGCTTTTTCCTTGATCCTACAAGTTCAATGTCTTCATCTTATTCTCAATTTGTTGAAGCTCAACTTCTTCCCTCACTTCCCATTCATGTCTACTCTTTTGAATCTTCTTATTTTTTGCTTCTTCTAATACAACTTTATATTTTGCTTTATCCTTATCCAAAGACCTTGGGCGCGGGGTTGCATTTCCCTTTATGTGGGCGATATGTTGCTTGATTCTATATATTCCACCACTAACAACTTTCCCACAGAACTTACACTTCAGCTTACCCAAAAGTCTCATCCCATATCACTTGAAGCACGCTTCAACGATGATGAACTATTTGTCTCGGAAGGTGCATTAGATGCTCCGGAAGATGTCATCAAACAAGTTTTATAATTATTAAATAAATTATTAAAAAAAGCATATTCATATTAAATTATCAAAACAAATCCCAAACCAAAAAAAAAAAAAAAAAAAAAAAAAAAAAAAAAAAAAAACATTATAAATTATCAAACAAGCATAATTTTAGTTTAGGACTATGGACTATGGTGCTTTCATAGGAATTTTTCTTTGACAATGTTAAGATGCGGTGGTGTGCTCTTTTAGGGCCTTTTCGTTTTGTTGTTCTGGCCTGTTCGTAGTGGTTTTCTCTTTATATTGTGTTGCCTTTGTGCAAATTCTCTCATTTCTGTGCCGACTAAAGAATTATGATTGGTAATAGGTGCTCTCTTTTCTTCAGTTGGTTCTAGACTTACTTGTGTGTTTTGTTAGGGTTCTTCTATTGTTGTCTCTGGATCTTTCTTGATGTGTTCGTGTGTCTTTGTGGGGTGCTATAACTACTCTGATGTTGCACAAAGGACTATGAGTTTTAATAGCAAGATTCTTTTGACGGTTGGGATGTGTTGGTGTGCTATCATGTGGGGTCTATTGTATTGGATTTTAGTTTTTGTCTTTTTTCGCATTCTCTATAGCAGTCCTATGTGATCTGAATCGGACTCTCTTATAAGTCCATGGTATGTGTGGTATTCTTTCCTACCCTTGGGTTTGTCTAATGTGATTTTCCTATGAAGGTTTTAATGAAGCGATTGTTTTTTGTGCCCTTTTTGGTGCTATGAATGAAATCTTCTTATAAAAAAATCATAGTTTTAGTTATAGTTATAAATTATCAAAGTTGTTAGAAAAAATAAACATATATGAAGCAACAAAACAAAGCATACAATATTAAGAGGGAAAAAAGGGCATAGATAATTACGGAGAAAGAGGGTTGCGGCAACTAGGAGAGGGGGAGTCACTAGTCGAGAGTACCGGCAGATGGGCGAGGGGTCGTTGCGGGTCGCGGTAACTGTAGTGAGTGAGTGAGTGAGAGAGAGAGAGAGAGAGATAATGGGGCAACGACTCACATGAGATTAATTTTATTTATATATATGATATTAATATTTTAAAAATTGCTAGGTATTTTTTTAAAAAAATTCTGATTTTTTTTAGAATTGTTTCCAATTTTTTTCAATTTTTTTATTTGCTAACGTCAGCACCCTTAAGCAGCAGCTCAGGCTGATATTGCATTCGGGCCTGCCCAGTCTTGGTGGAGCCCACCTCCTACTCAAGCTACAACTGATTGGTAGAATGAGATTTTCTAGTCGAGGGGACTTTTGCCATGGAAAAATTCATCGCTAGAAGTGCTCTAAAGATTAGAGTGAAATTGGTGTGGTGTCCTCCCGCCTAAGTGGCCGCCTAGGTTGATTTTTCGAACACTACTTTTCATGTATATAAAGCAATATGCAACATCACTTATTTAGAGTGTTTTAATAACAACACACAAGTAATAACATCCAAGAAAAAGAAACAATCACAACAGTTACTTAGAGCATCCACATTTTGGGGGGGGGGTTGTATTTTCGGTATTGTAAAACCACTTTTACATCCCCCTTACATCTCCGGGGGTTGTAAATATGGTTTTTGCTCCAATGGGGAAGATGTAAATCTAAATATGTATATTTGATTTTCTTGTCTTAATTCGTTTTTGTGTGTTTTTTTTTGGTGTTAACTTTATAAAATTAATTTTGCGTGTGTTAGGTTTATTTTATTTTTTCTCAAAAAGGGGTTGAAAAAAAGAAGAAGAAAAGGAACCACATCAAAATTGACGCGGGCCTCACATATAAACTTTTATCTAGCAACTACACTATAGGCGCGTGTTTTGGGCAAGTGGATTTACCTTCATCCTTTTTGTTGCACACTCTTGTCTTTTCTCATGTAGGCTCCACTTGCCAAGGATGTAAAAAAGGATGCCCATGTGCATCTAACTTTGAATCTTACGGTTGTGATGCAAATTTACAATCATTTACACCTGCTCATTGCATGTGATTCTAATGACAAATTGTGTATATTTAACATACATCTCGTTATACAACCCCCCACTATAGATGCTCTTAGCATTGGCAATTATGCACAATACAATTTCTACAAAATTTAACTAAGTCAACCTCTGTAGAGGTTCCCCAAGAACCCCTACCTTTAGTCCAAGCTAAAAGTGGTTAATTTAACATACCCAAACCTAAAATTGAACAAGAAAATAAAATAGAAAATAATTTAATATACCTACCCTCCAACAAGAGAGAGTGTAACTCATACACCCAAATACGTGCCTCAGATGGTTCTAAAAGGGCACCATTGGATCCAGAACGAAAAATGGAGTGGAGAATGACAAAATGGGTGGTTGGAAACCACCACACGCGTCGCCACTCTCCGGTTGTGCAAGTGGGAAAAGTGCCAGTGACACCATCATCTCCTGCAACACCATCAACTCCCTTCTTCAGCAGATTAAAAAATGTGCATAAATTTGTGATAATTTCCAAACTTCTAGCCCTCGACCCGTCAAATCTCAACGGAATTGAATAAAGTCAAGGTAATCCCACTCGATTATAATCAATTCCAAGATCCCAAATAAGTTCCAACTCATGTAGAACCATCTATTTCAATCTAAACTCACAATTATAAACAAACTTAGATTCAAACATCAGACCCAAAATTCAAATTTGATCAACACACCCAAACTCTCGATACCCTTTGATGCTAAGAACTCTAAAAAATCTCTAAAGTTCTCTTCCCTTTTCTGTCTCTCTTTTCTTTATTTCTCCCTCCCTTTCTGTTGTTTTCTCTCTCTGTTAAAGGAAAAGCAATTACACGATCTGATTGAGAGTGATTGTAGCTTATGAAATTGTCAACTCTTGGAATAAAGTGATTATAGGATGTAAATGTAATTAGCTTTATTCTAGGATCTGTTTACTTAGAAAGCACATAGGTTCTGTATAAAATCTTACCTTGTGTACCAATATTCATATCAATGAAATATACAAATTCTCAATTCAAGTTGGCATCAGAGCACCGATCTTGGTGACTCTATCATGCTTCCGCCACCATAACCACTGTAGTCCTCCCATAACCACCACAGATCTCTCACAAACACTATGACAGAACCAACCAAAAACATGAAAGCGGATGAGAATACCATGGAATTCTCTGACCCATACGCCATACACCACTCAGATGATACTGGACTTATCCTAGCTTCCAAACCACTTGATGGGAACAATTATGGGCAATGGAGTTGTGCCATGTGAATAGGTCTCAGTGCAAATAACAAGATTGGGTTCATTGATGGAACCGTTACAGCTCCATCACTTAAGGACGCAAAATATGCATCTTGGAAAAGATGCAATGATATGGTAACACTATGGATTGTGAACTCAGTCCACTCAAACATTGCCAACATCATCATGTACACTGAATCTGCTACTGTAGTTTAGAACGATCTCAAGGATAGGTTTTCACAGAGTAATGACTTGAGGATCTACCAAATTCGACAAGGGCAACTCTCGGTCTCTTCTTATTACACCAAGATTAAAGCCCTGTGGACGAGTTAGCATCTTGCCATGACCCACTCACTTGCACTCTTGCAGGCTTGAAAGAACTTGCTAAACAAGAAGAGCAGGATGCTAACTCGTCCCACATGGCTTTCATCTTCGTGTAATAGGAAGAGACCGAGAGTTGCCATTGACAATTTTTGACGATTTCTTGTCGAATTTGGTAGATCCTCGAGTCACTGGTCTGTGAAAACCTATCCTTGAGATCGTTCCAAACTGCAGTAGCAGATTCAATGTACATGATGCTATTGGCAATGTCTGAGTGGACTGTGTTCACAATCCACAGTGTTACTAAATCGTTGCATCTTTTCCAAGTTGCATATTTTGCGTCTTTGAGTGATGAAGCTGTAATGTTTCCATCAATGAACCTAATCTTGCTCTTTGCGCTAAGACCTATGCACATGGCACGACTCTAATTCCCATGACCACATCAACTCCAATCTTGACCCACATCAAACAGTGCTTGATTCACCACACACCACGGTTCTTATTTCCCCGACCAACCTCGAGCCTTCATCACCTCTTCCACCAAATCTTATCTCTCCCACCCTCGAGCCTCCCTTACCCACCTCAAGCCTTCCCATTGCACCTGCCACCACCAATACACCACTTGAACCTGTCACTTCCAACACCTCTCTTCCTCAACCATCTGCACCACCCATTTCTCACCAAGCCCTACTTCGCCACTCTACTCGTCTCACCAAACCACCTGCTCACTTCAAAGATTATGTGGCTCATCACTCAACCTTGCTCACGCCCACGAAGGCCCCATTGCAATCCATGTTTAGCACTCGCCATCCACTGCGTCGGTATGTTTCCTATTCTTGCTTATCTGTTGGATATCAACATTTTATTTCTCATATCTCCCACTTGGTGGAGCCACTACCTATAAACAGGCTTTTCAAAATCCCCACTAGATTACCGTGATGTAGGCTGAACTCACGGCCTTAGAAGACAATAAAACCTGGAGTTTTGTTCCTCTTCCTCCCGAACAACGACCCGTCGGCTGTAAATGGGTTTTCAAACTTAAGTACCGATCTGATGGCACTCTTGAAGGCTACAAAGCACGTCTCGTTGCCAAAGGTTTCGCCCAACGTGAAGGTATTGACTACAAAGAGACCTTCGCACTGGTGACCAAACACATTACCGTGCGTTGCCTATTGATTGTGGCTGCTATCTGCAATTGGCCGTTACATCAAATGGACGTCCAAAACGCTTTTCTTCATGGCAAACTTAAAGAGGAGGTCTATATGTTGCCTCCCCTAGGTTGTCGTCGACAGGGGAGAACGTCGTGTGTCGACTCCATAAATCTTTATATGGTCTTAAAAAAGCATCCAGAAGTTGGTTTCAAGAGTTCTCTTCGGCAATACGTACCATCTGTTTCTGCCAATTTAAGGCAGATTACTCTTTATTCACTCAAGTCAAGGGTACTTCACTCACTATTATATTGTTATATGTTGATGACAAGGTGATTACAGGCAACAACGAGGCAAAAATTAAGAACCTAAAGTCTTTCCTTAACAGTCAATTTCAAATTAAAGATCTTGGACCTTTGAAGTATTTCCTTGGAGTCGAGGTCGCACGTTCGAAAGCTGGAATCACAATTTGCCAACTGAAATATACACTGGACATATTAGAGGAGGCTGGATTACTTGGTGCTAAACCCACGAAGGTTCCAATGGAGGCAGATTTGGTACTAACACTTGCAGGTAGTAGTTCACTTCACGAACCTGCAAGGTATAGACGCTTAGTTGGAAAATTGATCTATTTGACCATCATAAGAACAGAAATAACATATACTGTCAACACATTGAGTCAGTTCATGCAAGATCCACAACGACGTCATCTTGATGTAACGTATCGACTTCTTCGATACCTCAAAGGAGCTCCTGGACAAGGTTTGATGTTTTCTTCCCAAAGTGAATTACATTTAATTGGTTACTATGATGCAGATTGGGCTCGTTGCCCCATTACATGTCGATCAGTGACTGGTTATTGTATCTTCCTTGGAAACTCGTTGGTGTCCTGGAAAAGCAAGAAGCAAGTTACAGTAGCTCGTTCATCCGCAGAAGCGGAGTATCGGTCTGTGGCCATAGCTACTTGTGAATTAAGTTGGTTGCGATATTTATTGGAAGATTTGCGTGTTAAGCATCCCTAACTGGCAAGATTATTCTGTGACAACCAAGCCGCCTTACACATAGTCACAAATCCTGTGTATCACGAACGTACAAAGCATATTGAGATCGATTTCCACACTGTTCGTGAGAGGATTCAAAGGGGAGAAATCAAAACTTCCTATGTCAGAATAGGGGAGCAAGTTGCAGACTTATTTACTAAGCCACTACGTGCTCCTATTTTTCATACACATCTAGGCAAGTTGGGTGTCATTGACATCCACACTCCAACTTGAGGGGGAGTTGGGCATTATTATTATTATTTTTATTGATGGTTATGTTGCTTTGTGCGGGTAGAGGTTAGAGTACCTTGATTCCCCTTATTCTATGGGAGTATATGTCCCATGGTCAGCAAGAAGGTCTTTGTGGTGAAAAGCCACACAACAGTTAGTGCACTAGTATGTTGCCACCTTGTATGCATGCGCGTGTATTAGTTGATGCATACACACTACATTAGAGTGTATGATCCGTGTAATGTTATAGACGAGGAGTCTCAAGTGTTTTATCTCATTTATATGTTATGTGTAATATTTGTGATATTTTTTTGGAAAAATTGATAGGGTGGGATTCAGTTTATATTGAAATATAAGATGAGCGCTATGTAAGTGTACTAAGTCTTGGGATGTTACTAGGGACACACCGAGAATTTGAAAATGACATGGGCTAAATTCAAAGGCGGAGTCAGGAATATTTGTAGGAGTACGCTAAATTTATTTATTTAATTTTTTTTTGTGAGTAAATTATAAGCTCTTGTTTGTTACAAATATATATATATATATATATAAGCCCTCTTTTTTCAATATATTTTCTTCATCATATTTAGAACTTAAAAAAATATATATATACTGACATTTGAAACAAACAAAAATCTTGGAATTATTGATAATATTGTTGAAATATTTGGAAGGGATTGAAGGGAAACAGAGGAGAGCTACACATGTACTAGGAAATATTAGAAGGAATTGAAGTAAAAACAAAATAAAAACACATATCTCATCCCAATACACACATCCGTTTCTTTATTCTATTTCCTCTTCTCTCCCATTTTTTTATTCTATTTCTACTCTCTCTCTCTTTTTCCGATTGTTTATCATCTCCCCCTATATTTTTTTTCATATTCTTTTTCCTTCTTCTTCCTCTCTTCCTTTTTCTTTCTTTCTTCTTCCTCTTTGTTCTTTCTTCTTGTCAACCGGCTAATTGCTTAGGTTAACAAGTTCATTGGACTATAGCAGGTTAACATGTTCATGGGACCGTCCTTGGATGTTACAAATGGGTTTCCAAGGTCGGTTTTGAGATTTTTAGGGCCCTGTGCGAGATTTAAACTGGAGTTTTCACATAATCTAATGTGAAAATACTAAAATAAAATAAAATTGCCATAATGTCATAAATCAATTTTTAATAACTAAAATTCATCATCAATTAGCATCTAATCATAAATCAAATTCATAATTTTTTTAAATATTTTCATTTGATAAAGTTAAATATTAGTACGTTCGAAAAAAAAAAAGACTTCAAGCGTATGCGTATGATATGATTTTATTTTATTTTTTGGTTTTGTTTTTGAGTTTTTTTTTTTTTTTTTTTTTTTTTTTTTTTTTTAAGGAGAAAGCGTATGCGTGCGATATATACATTTGTTAGTTTAGTTGGATCTTTCCCGTGTTTTTTATTTATTTATTTATGGTGTAGGGGTTCATCGTGCATAGTAGTTGTTTAGAAGTTAGAGGCGATGAGCTTCTGAACGTGTAGATGTGTTATGCAATTTGATCTAGTGAGCGACTCTAGAGAGTTGAACTCCCTTTTCGTTATTTTTGTTTTGTAACATTTAACTCTAAGCCCGATTTGACTGCGCATGGGTATTGGGTGGCATCGTATAAATCGAGTTTGATTCATCGGAACTAGACGACAACGAAGATGAAGATGATAATGATGGAGAAGATGGTGATGGCGAAGATGGGTTTGGGTATTCTTCATTGGTTGCGATGGAAGGTGGAGAATTTCTTGGTTGATTGGAGGGAAGACAGAGTAGTCTCTAGTGGCGACCATAGACCAATTAGAGAGAGATATCATAGATTGAGCTCTAGATGGGTGGTGGGTGGTGGCTGGGAACGTGGAATGGGTAGGGATTTTTTATTCAGCAGTTTTTTCATTTTTTTTAATTGTCCAAATATTTAGTCTTTATTAATTTATTTAAATGTGCCAAGCATGTGACTTTTTTGGATGGAAAAGTAGATGAAATTCGAAAAATTTGACGTAAGGGGCTAAATTTGTTCGGAGGGTTAAGTTCCATTAGGATGATAGTTGAGGGAGGTAAAAACGGCTGAAAAATCTTTTTAGAAATTATATATATTTAGTTGTAATTTGATATTAGAATTTATTAGAGATGACCAAAATCCTTTTAGAAATGACGAAACCAATAACTGATCGAAAGCCTTTGGTATGGCTGAAATCGTAAAGGCCAAAGGTCAGTTAACGACGATTTTGATGTCGGTCGGAGAGAGAGAGAGTGAGCGAGCGCACTGACCAAAGCAGGCCGGACCCTAGTCTGTGTAGGCTGGGCGATTGCATGAGGCCCCCAAAATTTGGGGGCTCCAAATTTTTCTAAGTCCATTTACAGAAGAAACCAAAACAGGTCCTTTACTTAACTAAACTTCACTTTAAAAAAGAAAAAGAAAAAAAGGCATTTTGACAAGAGAAAATAAGAAACTGGGCCACTTTTGTTTTCAATTCCCTAATCCAATCTTATAAAACAGATGAAATTACAAATATAATATTAAATCCAAAAAACTGGGGTTGTGGCATGATGTTGATAAACCATCACCCATTAATTAATTCATCGATTATTGATACCATGTTGATGTACTTTTTATTATTATTATTATTATTTTCTAAAACGAAGACATAAACATTATTATTATTACCAATTTTATTGCTAAAATATTATTTAGTTTTTTTTTCTTCAGATTAATTGTCATATTGTCAATTTTATTGCTAAACATATTAATTTGTTTTGCAACAGCAGGAGAAGAAGTGCGAGAAACCATAGCTGGAGAAGGGATATTCCTATTAGCAAACAACAGATTTAGAATTAGCGTTGGACTTCTTCTTTCCAGATCAAGCCTATTTATGATTTTGACTAAATACTTGTGTTTGTAGCTTCATTTTGCTGTTTTTTTTGGGGTTAGTTTATGAACTATCATCATTTAAAATAAATAAAATAAAAATAAATGTAAAAGACAATTGAGTGGACTATCAATATGGGAAAATAAATGTAGTTGATGCAATTAAGGATGGAATTGGTTCTATTTATGGATTATGGAGTAATTCATGCAATTAAGGATGTTTTTGGTTCTATTTATTGATTGTGAGTTTTTTAAACTTGTTTATATAGACTATCAACATCTCTCTTTGTATAGGGCCTCCAAAATCAATGGACTGACCTTGAACCGGCCTTGGGCCAACATTATGAGAGATAGTAGTGGCATGCGTTGTCTGGATGTGGAGAAGCTATAGTAGTCTAGAGTGAGATGAGAGAGAGATGCAAAGAAGAGAGAGAGTGACAAAGACGGAGATGAGGGAGATGAAATAGAGAGATCGATAGAGGAAAAATGAGAAGAGAGAGAGGGAGAAGAAGAAGAGGGAGATGAGAGAGAGAGAGAGAGAGAGAGAGGCTGTTGGCGATGGCTCCATTGCAATAGAACCCTAGAAATTAAAGTGATTAGAGAAGGGACAATGACCGATTTGATTTTATAAACCCTAACACTTATATATATATACATATATAGTCCCTTCTATTGAGAGATTCCTCAAATATTTATGGACACCTTTTAGGGCCCCCCTACGAATTTGTTTTCAACGATCCAAACCATCTATTTTTTAAGTCTACATTCATAGATTATCCTTGCAAAAAATTAGACAAATTGAAAACTGTTTCAACATCTAATTTTGTTCTACAAAATCAATGAACACGGTGCTTCAAGAAAGTATTAAAATTTCAATAATCCAATTGAGTGGTTAAATGATATTAGATTTAAGTGATTTTTTTTTTGTAGAGATGATTTTTGAATGAATATCTATAAATAGATAGTTTTGATTAGTAAAATACAATACGGAGTGGGCTCTACAAGGGTGTCCCTCAAATAACTTATTTGAGAGATCCCTCAATAGAAGCTTACATATATATATATATATATTATATATATATGTACATGTATTTTTATCTAATGAATAACCCTTAAATTATTTGTTATATAAACTTTGCACAAGAAAACTATTAGTTTAGTGGTAAAATGCTAAACATAAGAGATTGAAGGTCAAGGGTTTCAAACGTCATGACTCCAACTTCGATTTGAACTGATGGTGGATGAATAAAACCATGAGCTGAACCAAAATTGGGCGGTTTTGTTGTCAAAATGGAGAAAATGAAGGAAAAAATTGAATGGGCCGTTTTGGAATGGTTCTATTTGGCTAGTTCGATTTGGTTCGGTTTGGTCGATAATTCGAATTGTCAATAAAAAATGCCGCCTCAAGAAAAAGAAGAAGAAGATGAAGAAGAAGATAGGCAAAGAAGAAGAAGAGAGAGGGGAGATGACGAGTGACTAGAGATAGGACGCTGGGGTTAATTTGGAAAGAAATCCTAAATATAATATAATATATTTTTAATTTCAATGGGCATTGAAAAGCACTTAAATATATTCATTTTATGAAAACAACGTGATGTTTTTTTTTGGACGAAAACAACGTGATGTTACTATAGTGGTGGAGTTGCTGTATTTCAAGTTGGTGGTCAAGATTGGAATCCCCTTGACACAAATCTTATTAATATACCGCCTTTTTAATAATTGTTGGTTCGGTTTGGTTGTACCGATGGTTTAGAAAAATCAAATCTAAAACCAAATTGGTGAAGGGCGGTATCAAACAATTAAGCAATTGGTTCGATTTGAATCGGTTTGGTTGATTTGGCAGTATTTCGATTTAAAATTCTAGCCCTAAATTGATGCATGTCAATTTTAAAATAAAAAATTGAACTTTTATCCAAATTCTATTTTTATTTTCCTCATTGAAATGGATGAAAAGAAAAATAAAGATTTACTCAAAAATAGAAAAAGAAAAGAGAAAAGAGTCCAAAATAGGAAATGAAAGGAAAAAAAAAGTAGAGTAATGAAAACAGGTAGTTTTTTTTTTTTTTTTTTTTTTTTTTTTTTGAAAAGCCATGAGAGGATCATAGAGATAGACGCAAGAACCCGTGCTGCAATCCGTGAAATGAAAATAACCTCCATTTGCTCTCTGTTCCTTATAACTGAAGGCATACAACTATACCTCGCATCCACGCATAAACGCAAAACCTTGACCTTCTAATCATACACATATATACCCAAATCAATTTCCAATATCTTCCAAATTTTTGTATATATAACATTTTGCATTTTTGCTGATCAGAACCAGGGTTTGATCAACACCACGATCTTCAATCAGCAACCGTATGATTTGATGACTCCCACGTTGACATGTCGTCGCCGTTGCTAGAGACCAGAGCTCCGGCGCACACCCAACAACACCAAAACCTCAATAACGGTCAGATTTCTCACCCTTTCTCGTTCGACTTTTCTGGGTTCTCGTTGCAAAATCAATCCGAGCAATATCAAAGCTTGTCCCACACCATGAACCCATCAAATGCTGGTGATGTAACTTCTGGTTTTTCGAATTCTAACGACATAAACTCCAATTTTGGCTTCAATACCTCGTCCCTTTCGCGGCAGGGGTCCGGTCTTGCGAGACCGAGATTTGTGAAGGTGAGAAGAGGCTTGAATGCTCAGAATTTTAAACCCCCAGAGTCCCCAGAAACCGGGTTTCGTCCTGGATTCAATCCGTTTCGAACCAATTTGGAGAGTTCAATTCCAGTCCCATCCGGGTTAGAAACGGGGACTTCAGTCTCTGGGGAATTTGGGACCCCTAAGAGTGGGAATGAAGGAAAAATGTTCGGGGCCAATAGGAGTGATTCGAATGCAAATTCGGGGAAATGGGATTCTAATGCGAGTTTGAGGAAAGGAGTGATTGATGAAATGAGGAATTTGAAAATCGGGAGTGGCAATGAGTTTCTGAATACCAAAGAGGGTGCTTTCAGTTTTAATGCAAGAAGTAGGGTGAGTTCGAGTTCAGCTGCGGGGTTGGATAAAGGTGGTTTCGTCTTTGGTAATGGTTATAGGAAGAATTCTAGTATTGATGAAAGCATTGGGTCAAAGCTTCCCGAGGATATGATGAAGTTGAACATTGAAGGTCCCGAGAACGCTGAATCTGTTGAGAAAGGTAAGGATGTAAAGTTTAATGTAACTGCAACTGACAAGACCAAGTTTGGTCTGGGGAATAATGACAATGTGGGTGGTTCTTTGGGCCAAAACCTGGAATCGGAACTCCCAAATGAGTTGAAGAAGTTGAACATTAAGGAGACTGTGCAGCTGGATCGCAGTACTGACACACCTAATGCCGATTGTGTGTATAAGTTTGCCTTTGGAAATAGTAAAAAGGATAGCTATTCATTTTCTGGAAGCTCGGAAAATATACTTCCAGATTTGATGAAGAATTTGAACATAAAGGACCATGCAGATATGAGTGACAGAGACAATCCGGCCTTTACAAGTGGTAAAACTGTTGGTGATACTTTTGATGGAAGAAAAGGAACTCTTCTGTCGAGAAAGATGGAGAAGCTGAATCTGGGAAGTAGGGCTGGAGACTCTACTCAATCACATGCAGGGACTCCGTCGCATCAAACATCTATAAAACATGTGGAAACTGGAAATTGCGGTGACAAGTTATTTCACAATCTTGATAAACCAATACCAAGAGAGTTCCCTTTTCAGGTGGCAATGCAGGGCAGGAATGCAGGTGGTTGTGATTTTTCGTCAGACCAACCAAAAGATGAGGCCAAATCATGCGGAACCACTCCATCTGGTGGCATTCATTTTGAACCAGTTGGAGGCACTTCTGAAATGCCTGCTGTTGACAGACCTGAGAACAGGGATGAGTTTTACTTTACAAGCAAGCAAGATGGTTTAGGCGGACACTCTGTAGAATTTAAAACACCAAATACCAAAGCAAACCTGTTTTCTGGCATAAATAAGAAACTAGAATCTGGCGCAAGGAGGGAATCATTTAGGGACACTAGAAAGAAAAAAACAACCGGAAAACCAAGACGTTCTAGCTCAGCCCATCTGGGCCCTAGGCATGACTTTGTTTCAAGGGAAGGCAGTTCTCAGGAAAATGTTGAGGCCTCTGCATCCTATTCACCAATGGACGTTTCCCGTATCAAGAAACATTAGCTGATAACCAGTGTGCAAAAGAAAATTCTGTGGCATCTGGTGAGTCATTTAGTATACTCAACAACCATTCGGCAGCTGATTCAGTACCAACAGTTTCAAATGATCCTATTGATGAAGATCTGGCTATGGCAACAGGACGTCTGGATATAAATGAAGTTGATGCAACAAGCAGAGAAACAAGAGCGGACACTTTTGAGTACGGTTTGGATGGAAGTGTTGATGTTGAAGGCACCCTTGAAGGATCCGTTTCTGAGGTTGAAACTGAAAGCTTTAAGTCTGCTGCTGAGGAGGTAGACTTTAGTAGGGATAACTCCCTTACCGCAGCAGAAACTGAAGCCAGTTCGAGCTCAAACATTGAAAGACATGATATTGATGCCAGGATACACTTTGGCTTTCCTTCAACTTCGGAAGATAGAACTCGGTCTAACTTTACCTTTGCTGCCTCTTCTGCTGCTCAAAGTCAATTATCTGCATCAAAACGCCTCCACAAAAAGAAAAATTTGGTAAAGGAAGGTCAAGATACCAATGTTATGGTTCCAAATGTTAAGGTTCCATATGCATCATCCTCTGCAAATTTTTTTCCGTATCCTGGTGCTTCAGTACATATGTCACCTAGACGTTCTCAGAAAATAGACTTGTCTATCCCACAACATAAATATGGAGATAATTCTGGGGTCTGTAAGGAAAAGGAGATAAGGCAAGAATCTGGTTCTCCATCCGCTGAAACAGCTGCAGCTCAGGAAGCATGTGAAAAGTGGAGACTAAGGTTAGAACTTATAATCAAATGATCATTTTTGTCTGTGCTTAAAACTCGTTGTATGATTCCGTTGAGTTATACTTGGACCTCTATGTGGAGTAATATAACCCTGGCTAAAGATCATCTTTCTTTTGTTGAATGTGAATATATCAGGGGAAACCAAGCATACTGTAATGGGGATCCGTCTAAAGCCGAGGACTGCTATACGAAAGGGGTGAATTGCATTTCTAGAAATGAGACATCTAAAAGCTGCCTTAGGGCATTGATGCTGTGCTATAGCAACCGTGCAGCAACACGTATGACTCTTGGAAGATTGAGAGATGCACTTGGGGACTGTATGATGGCTGCAGGAATTGATCCCAACTTCCTCAAGGCGCAGGTTAGAGCTGCCAAGTAAGTATTTGCTTCTTACTATTTGATATTTTCTTTTGACTTTCCAGTATGAAGTTCTATGCTAATGCAAATTATTTAATTCTCACAAATCCAAAATCCCAAAACACCCAAAGCAATCTCTCACAAAAGGGCAAAGGACAAACACTAAACCAAAGATGAGAAGATTATCAAAACTTTTCATAGTTATTCTCTCTAACATTCTTCAATAACAAATAAGAACCTAACATTCGTCAACAACAAATAAGAACCTCATGTGCCTATTATATACTACTCATGACAGGGCAAACCCTGTAAGGAATAGGAATCCTCATAGGATAAGAAACAAAAAGCCATTGAAGTGCAAGTGCTAACCTTGATGTGCTAATGGGACCAAAAACGCTAAGTAGTAATCTTAAAATTTAAGCCACATCACAACGAAAGTCAATTGGTGGACTTAAATTTTTGAAAAAGACTACATAACCTTATAGAACTAAAGTAGTTATTGGTTTATGTGGGAAATGTTTTCTTACATCAGATTTGTCAATGTGGACCACAAATTTAAACAAGATTCCGTGTAATCATGGATTAGGATTGATACTCTGCAACATAACATGCCAGACTGTTGACATGATAAAATTTCCCTTCTATATGTAATCAATTAGTGGGATGGAAATCACTTTTTCACTTTTTTTGTTGGTTACTTTGTAGGGGATGGAACCTTGAACCTATTCTAACTTTAACCAATTACCCCTCCCTCCCTCACCACTTGGGCTAACCCCAAGGGCTTTAACTTTTTTTTTAACTTTACTCATCTTGATTTTCAGTCTCAGTATCAAGGGTCGCCATCACACCTATCTGGGGTCCAAATTGTTCTATATGTGATTTTATAGGCCTGTCTGTTCTCATTTTTTGTATCCTGTATGTTTTCTAACTGGACTTCTTGTCCACAACGTTGTATGTTTTGTCAGTATTCAATAAAGTCAGGACACCTAAATGCGTAAATTCCCAAAAGCAAATCCTTTTAGATGAACTAAGTAATTTCAAGGGATAGGCCTTTAAAAATGGTCTGAGCTTGATTAGCTGGCCTGTTTTGTCTTTTATTTTTGGTCTGCAGGCTGGCATGGTGCTCTTAAAGGGCCAGTGGTATTAATAAAAGTATATTTCGTTTCATTAGAAAAGGGGTGTTTGTGCAATTAAACCTATAAAAACATGTTAACTTGTGTCATCTTATTTGGTAACCTTTAATTGCACAAGTTTATTAATAGAAGTTTCTTTCATTTCATTAAAAAAGAGGTATCTGAACTTAAACCTATAAAACATGTTATGAACTTGTATCATCTTATTTTGATAACGTACTTGTATTTTTTTCATTTTCAATAATAAAGCTTGTTGTTCGTATGAAAATATGTAAACAATTTGCTATAATTTTCTTGGTTAATTTTGAGCGTAATGGATTGTTAGATTTTTGTTAGTTATCAGTACATGTGCAATATTGTGCAGTTGTTCTTGGATTGTCTGGATCCAAGTAAGATATTTTTCTGGTCCTCAAAATTCCACTCCTCAAAATTTCCGTGCACGTCTGTTATTCTGCTAGTTTTGTAATTATGCATTTTTTTATTTCCTATTGAATGCGCATTGGTTCTTTGATTTCCGAGCTGTGGCATAGGGAGTATCCTCAGTCTTAATTGCTTTTAATGTCAAATAACATGCATTCCCTAATTTTATTTCTTGTTAAAATTCTTAAAGCTGTTATCTTGCCCTTGGGGAAGTTGAAGATGCTTCACAACATTTTAGGAGGTGCCTGCAGTTGGCAAATGATGTCTGCGTGGACCGAAAGATTGCAGTAGAAGCCTCTGATGGCTTACAAAAAGCACAGGTACTGTAATTTATTTGATTTTATATCATATACAAGCCAGATCGTCTCATAAGGTTTTTTTTTGTTTTTTTGTGGGAAAACAATGGTCCTTCTCTAACATCACTTAATCATAAACTAATTAATTCAAAATTGTACATTGTGCACATGAAATTGGTTGAACTCTGGAAACGGTGTAACACTTCGTGTCTTCTGAGCAGTAGTTTAAGTTGCCCATCACATGATTCTGTAGGGTGATTGGGGCAAGAAGAAATATTGAATTTCTGATTATCAAATCCCTCTTTTGGCTCATAAGGGGCAAAGGACAGGAGAAAAAAAAAGGATTGAAGGTGGGGTCTTAATCTGTGTTTCTAATTAAATCATTTCTTTTCATCTGAAGTTCATTTAGTCTGAAGACATTGTAGATTTTAAATATGCACAAAATTATTATTACTCATGGTTGATAAAGACTTGGTGCTGAGCGGGTGTGGTCAGGGAGGTCTCACTAAGGGATTTGTAAAGGCTGTTTATTGGATAAATACTTGTATTATTAGCCTTTATGGGGTTTTCGAGAGATTAAAATTTGGGTTTGGAGTTTCTTTTGGGATTAGAATGTATTTTTTTGGGGCAGTTTTGGGCCCCACAAGGTGTCCCTCAAATAAGATTATTTCAGGGATCCCTCAATAAAAAGGGACTCTATATATGTGTGTGTGTATATATATATACACATACATATATCAATATCTGAAACATTACACAGAAGAGTTTGTAGAAAAACTAATTAGAGTTTTTAATTGCTTGCAGAAAGTGTCTGAATGCCTGAATCTTTCAGCTGAACTTTTACAATGGAAGATATCTACCAATGCAGAGAGAGCTTTGGAACTTATTGCTGAAGGCTTGGTAATGAGCCCTAGCTCAGAAAAATTACTTGAAATGAAAGCGGAGGCTCTTTTCATGGTTAGTGTTTTTCTTTTCTTTCTAATATTGTTTTTGTGATACTGTAAATCTTTACTCAGTGGTTTAAAAGTCAGTTATACTGTATACTTTAAGCATTTCCAGAAACTCAGAATGGTTTTCACTCAGTTGTGGGTTGACTTCTGTATTCCCTAGCAGATGCGGAGGTATGAAGAGGTGATTGAGCTGTGCGAGCAGACCCTTGGTTCCGCTGAAAAGAACAACCCTTCAATAGATACTAATTACCAGGCCCTTTCTTCAGATGGTTCTGAACTTTCCAAATACTTTTACTTCCGACTCTGGCGGTGCCGTGTGATTTTTAAATCATATTTTCATCTAGGGAAACTTGAGGAGGGTCTTGCTTCACTAGAGAAACAAGACGAAAAGGTGTCCACATACAGGTAACTTACAGACCAGATTTGTACATGTTTAATTATGTTAAAGATTACTGCTTTTAGTGCTTGCAGCTCCTAACACTAATTAGAATATCCAGGAATTGGAGAAAAACTTTGGAATCATCTGTACCTCTTGTTCTCACTGTACGTGAACTTTTATCTCATAAGGTATGTCAATCTGTGCCATATTTCTATATAGTGCTCTCAATTGTGTATTTCTATATGCATAGCATGAAATGTACAAAGCCAATGGGTTTCTATTGTCATGAGTCATGATAGAGGTATGAGCATGGTTACGTAGAAGACGTTTGATATTCAAAAGCTCAAAACTGGAGAGGAGATTAGGTGCAATTTATTTATTTTTTATTTTTATGGTTTTTATAAACATTCAAATATATTACCTATTTGTCTTTAGAATCCCGAAGAGTGTGGGATAGATTGGAGAAATCAGTGAGAGATTTCCTGCAGGAGGCAGTGGGGGACGGGAAAAGGGATTATTTGGTGAGGTTGGTAGTTGCTTCTTGTTTACTAGAAAAGAGTGGTGTAGGAACAGGCAACTTGGATAAAAGAAAACGCCTCCTTGGGAAGTTGTTGTGGAGGTTCCTTTTGGAATTGCCCCTAGGATGCTTCCATCACAACCAAGTAAATACGGGAAGTGTGGTCAAACGTATGAGTAGATGCCCTTGGAAAGACATTACAGCATATTAATATTTCCTATCTTTATCTTCGTGAAGTGGTGGGGAATGGGGTGTGAGGGTGGATAGGGGGGTCATCTTTCTGTGCACCTTTTCTATGTCTTTATAGAGTTTCAGCTTTCATTGTCCAGGATCCTGGTGCAAACATTTCTTAGTAGGTTAATTTTGAGTCATCTCTTTTCTAATTTTTTTTTTGAGTCATCTCTACCCATCTTCATGGAAATTGGAAGGTGGCAGCCGCTTAATTTTTCTTTTTCTGGCTTAGCTGTTCTAAGATGTGCTCGGATGGTTTTTGGTTTTACAGTATTTGTTTGATTACAGTTTTATATTTGCTCCAGTGGATAGGCTGTCCACTATTTTTGCACATTAATTTCTTAGATTTTTATAAATACTTGTGTTTTTCATAAAAAACTTCCAATGATTAGACATATGAAATAGGGCTACAGTAAAATTAACAGATACAGGCAACTTTACAAAAAACAGAGAGTTGTTTTGTAAAATTGACTTATGAAATATGACCTTTTTATTGTTTTAACGAAGTTGGTTATAGGTAGAAGGAAAGACAGAAAAGTTTTCCAACTTAGAAATGGGAACTACAAAAACTAACTGCACAAACAAAAGTCACATAACAATCATAGCAATACCTCACCCAATAAATTAAATGGAATTGCTTTTAAATTTTTTTGACAAAGAATTTAGCATTTCCTAAAGGTGCCTTTAAATATCCGTAGTTTTTGTAAATTGTATCAATATTTCCACTGATATATCTGTCCTTGACTAAGTAATATTTGACCTCATAAGTAAAATTAAATATCCATTCTACAAACCCTTTCTATTTGGAAGTGTGATATCACAATTGAGTAAGTAATATTTGAACTCATTCCCCATCCCAGACTAAAAAATGATCTGCAGGATCCTCTCCAGCTGTTTTTTCGCATAATGTATAAATACAAATAAAGACACTCTCTTAAGAATGTCATATTCCCTCCTATAGACAAACACTGCCTTTTCCACTTCGAAACCCTTTTCTCAAACCTCATTGGTTATCCTTGGCAGATAATTTTCTCAAATGCTTAGCACTTGCTATGATGTCTGCTACATTCTTTGTCCTTGAGAAACGTAGTACTTTCTAGTTGTCTCTAACAATTTTACTTTTTCAAATTTTAGTTAATACTCGCCATTCTTCATTCTCTACTAGTTTATTTTTCTAATGTTTGATGCGTTAAATCTGTTTATCATTAAACTGTTTAATTGAAGTGTGAAATGCTCCATTGCATCTGCTAGGTATGCATCTATTCCATATATAGGGAACAGCATGTCCTCTGTACTGTTTATTTCTTTTTTAGTGAAGTACGTTTTTATACTATATATGCATGCTGCTTATGTATATCATGATATCTTTGTTACTCTTCATCACAGGCTGCAGGGAATGAAGCATTTCAGGCTGGAAGGCATACCGAAGCAGTTGAGCATTATACTGCTGCTTTGTCATGTAATGTGGAATCACGTCCATTTACAGCTGTTTGTTTCTGCAATCGTGCTGCTGCGTACAAAGCATTGGGCCAAATGACTGATGCTATTGCTGATTGCAGTCTAGCTATAGCTCTTGATGGAAATTATCAAAAGGTTTGCTCAAAACTGAAGTTTTCTTAGTGGCTGTTTGATATGACATTGCTGATGATTTTATTTATTGGCTTTTTATCACAAAACGTCCCTAAGGTTTTCGAAACTATCAGATTGCGTCCTTTATGTTTTTTTGTTTCATTTGTGGTCCTTAAGGTTAATAAGTGTGCTCACAAATAGTCTTTGCTGTCAGATTCCGTCCAAAAATCTGTTAAATTGATGATGTGGCACATATGTGGGTCTCACGTATCCAATAATATGACGCCACGTGGATTAAATAAAAAATGCATTTAAAAAAATAATTCAAATTATTATCCATTAAAAAAAACTTCAAAAAATTATAAACCAAAAAATAAAAATAAAAAAATCACCACCTCCTCCATTGCACCAAACCCCCAAATCCAGCCTCCTCCATATCCCAACCAGCTATCCCAAATCAACACCCACAACAGGCAACCAAACCTTGATGTGCCACAAACTCCCCCTCACCCACTGCCCGTCTAATCTCCACCACCAAAGACCAACATTGGATGTTGTAATTATTTATATAATACAAAAATGGAGAGAAATTACATGAATTCTTGCTTCTTTGTGAATTTTCGGGGATAAAATTTTGGTACTCGATTCTATTTTGCTGCTGCCTTCTTCGGAGTCGTCGGTAGAGTCGAGGCCTTCACCGGAGGAGATGGTGGTTAGTAAAGGCCAAATCTGGAGTGGGTTGGGTGGGCTTTGTGGTTGTCTGGGTTTGGTTGGAGAGAGAAAGAGAGAGGGTTGGGGGGGGGGTTGTGGGGGTGGAGTTTAGGTGGTTGCTGTCAAATAAAGAGAGCAGGAAAGAGAGACAGAGGGAGAGAAAAGGAGGAGGGCGGGGCAGTGGTGCAGAGGGTGGGTGAGGTTAGGGTGTGGCTGTTGGAGGTCTGAGAGGGAGAGAGAGGAGATATGGGTGGGAACGAGGAGAAGGTTGGGGTTGGGGTTTAGTGCGATGGAGAAGATGGTGATTTTGCTTTTGTTTTGTTTTGTTTTTTTTTAATATGTTCTTTTCTTTTAAGTTTTTTAAATTTTTTTATAAGTTTCAAATTTTTATTTATTTAATCCATGTGGCGTCATATCATTGGATATGTGAGACCCACATGTGTGCCACGTCATAAATTTAACAGATTTTTGGACGGAACCTGACGGCAAGGACTATTTGTGAGCACACGTATTAACCTTAAGGATCACAAATGACACAAAAAAACATAAAGGATGAAATCTGATAGTTTCGTAAACCTCAGAGACGTTTTGTGATTATTTATTTATTACATTTTCCTTTGGTAAAAGGAGGGGCTGGTTTTGTATCTTGTTTGGTTGATAACACTCTTTGGTAACTGACACATGGTTTGTACAAATAAATTAGTAGTCTTCTTCAGGTCATTAAGCATACTAGTATTCTAATCAATTTATATTTCCTTTGTTCTACATAGTCACACAGGTTTCCTACTTGTTTGTGGGGAGCATTAGGAATTTGATGTGGTATAATATTTTTGTGTGTTTGTGTGGTTTCTTTCTGTGGAAATGTAGCAAATGGATCTTTTATGTCTATCTAACTAATTTTCAAGGAAATCTTAGAATATTTGTTTGCTTTCTATGTCAATTGTGATGCACAAACATCTAAATTCCACTGTTAATTTTAAAAAATCACATGTTTAAATTCAGATTTCTGTCTTCTGAACTTTTCCAATTTGTGTGCAAACTGTGATAAGAATGAAGACTTGTCCTTCTGAGTTGAACTTTGAGAACTTTAGATATCTTAAATTTGAGTATTAGACTATGCTTAAAAGAAATTTTCTGGATAAAGAATGAAAGAAGAAAATTTTAAATAAGTTCAGTTTTGGCATCACTTTTGACTCCAGTTGTAAACTTAAATTTCTAATTTTAAGTTCCAAATGAGTTCTTCCCTTTTATTGGTTCTGTGGTTAATATCAATCTCAAAGCGTAGCTTCTGCAGTGTTGCATTTTTTATTTACTTTAGATTCCTGGTATGTGTTGCTTGTGGTGTCCTCATGTATTTTCTTAGGTTATACATTGTTACGTTTTGCTTACGTATATGGATTAAACAGCTTCTGTCTGCCACGATCAGAATGTTGTAGAACTATTGTTGGTAGTTTAGAATATGGTTTGTAGATATTTCCTCCTGAAACCTTGGTCTTTGAGCCTAGTTTGGCGTTGGTTGCTTGTCTATGAGGGATTAATCCTGAAATGAGGTTGTTTTGGGTGTTAATGCAAGAAGATTGCACTAATGTAATGAAGTTGTTAGTCCTCGAGTAGTTGGCACTTTCACAATACTAATTAAAAGTACTTTTCTTGTGGTTTATTGCATTTCGGAATGATTATTTTCTTGGATTGGGTCCTTTAGTATTGTCATGTCAGTGTTCCCATTTTGTAATTACTAATTATTTTTATTTCCATTTGTTTTTGGTTGACTAGATCTCTTACCATTTTCTCAAATATTTTCCTGAGATGATTGCTATGCTCTTTTTAAGAAGCATTTCATATTCATTTGTATGATTAAACTAATACAGTGATATTCTAATCTGCAGTTTTATAACCTTGCTTTTTATGGTCTTGCATTTACACTTTCACAGGCTATTTCTAGGCGAGCTACATTATATGAGATGATCAGAGATTATGGACAAGCAGCTAGAGATCTTCAGAGACTTGTATCTCTTCTCACTAAGCAGGTAGAGGGAAAAACCAATCATTGTGGAACATCTGACAGATCCATTAGCTGCACAAACGATTTGAGACAAGCTCGTCTTCGTCTTTCTGGAATAGAAGAAGAAGACAGAAAGGACATCCCCTTGGATATGTACCTGATTCTGTAAGTTTATCTGTCTAGATTTATTTCCATCATGATTGTGAACTGGCCCCTACTTAGGATGTGTGCACAAATCAAACATATATGATTGATGTCAGACCATACAATAAAATACTTTGTGGAGCCTGAGTAGTTATGCATTCATATCGCTATGTTTGTTAATTAATATGACGCGTACCTTTATCTAATAATTCTGTGGAATAAGATAATTAATTAATTATTTGAAACAAGCTCTTTGCTATGCTCCATGCCCTGGATTTTTGGTAGATAGTGAAGAACCCATGCAATCTAGGAAATATACCATCACATGCATTTTATGATTCTCTTAAAAATGTAAAGATTTTTAATCCACAGTCCAGACAGTTAATTCTGAGTAAAATTAATTGTATCAATCATTTTAAGCTATTTTGGTTATAATGGCAGGGGAGTCGAACCATCTGTTTCAGCAGCAGAAATTAAGAAGGCCTATCGGAAAGCTGCACTTAGACATCATCCTGACAAGGTATGTAATATTTTGTGATTTATTGCTTGCTTATTGCTATTCACCCTTTAACATATTCTTTTATAGGCTGGTCAATTCTTTGCAAGGAGCGATAATGGTGATGATGGGGTTTGGAGGGAGATAGCAGAAGAAGTGCACAAGGATGCTGACAGGCTTTTCAAAATGATCGGGGAGGCATATGCAGTACTTTCAGACCCTACCAAGGTCGCAAGACACTTTAGCTATAATGCTTTATTTATGTCTCAAATAAACAAGTTTCTGTGCAGCACCCTTTTGGTAGAAAAGGACAAACTTTTATTTATTCCAACCATCTTTTTAATTGAGTTATCAGAGAACTTTTCCTGTTAGACTTTGGTATACCATGCTCTTTGACAATATTTTAAAGAAATTTTGGTGTTTATTTTAATGATTTTGCAGCGTTCAAGGTATGATGCTGAAGAGGAGATGAGGAATGCACAAAAGAAACGCAGTGGAAGCAGCACATCTAGAATGCCTGCAGATGTTCAAAATTACCCATTTGAAAGAAGTAGCAGTAGGCGACAATGGAGCTACGGCAACTCATCTGCTAGAGGGTCAGAAGCAACATGGTCAAGTAGATATTCATGAAATGTGGTCGGAAGAAGGTTTTATTTAGTTGCTACATATGTAGTTCCAGTTCAAGGATCCACCAATGTTTGCAATTGTTTCAGCCCCGCATCTGAATGGTAGTGACCGCCTGACCGTCAATGGCTTGAGTGACATTGTGATTGTACTCAGGAGGGGAAAAAAAAAAAAAAAAAAAAAAAAAGTTTGCTTGGAAATTCGACAGATGGTCACAAGCTTTAGTGGGGCAATTGTAGTCTGAATTCCCAAATGAGGTGATGCCTTCTTTTCGATGTGTGTATGTGCGTAGAAAAGAGGGAGAATGTGTGCAGTAGAGATGATATGCAAAGACGCAAACCAGAAAGTGGTCTTCCCAGTTTGCTAGTCATGGGTATTGACGTCACAATGGGATTGGAGGACTTTATAGTCAGATTTTTTTTTTTGGTCTGATCTAAAGTCAGAAATTAGGGGTGGAAATTTGTGTTTTTCATGCTTTGGCTTCAGATACTGTTTGAAGAATAATTGAGCTTGAGGAAACTAGTGCCACAATATATGGTCCAAACACACCGGGGGGGATTTTTTAAAGATTTTTTTTTGGTTTTTTTGTACAGTCACTATTTCTGGGTGGGAAAGTTGAAAGAAATTTATTAATTAATTAATTTTTTTTTCCAATTCAATACATTTAATGTTCTGTTTAAATTTTTGCCTCCAAGTATTTAAAGGATATAGGTAAAAAGTACATGTGAGCTTTGATATTTCCAAAAGGAATTTACAGGGTTGATTTTGCTAACAATTGGACTAAAAAGAGTTCATAAATTCTTCATCACAGCATAAGAGAAATTTGTGTAAGGTTTTGGCAACAAATGGGCTTCATTTGAATGTAAGGATTCCAAATCTTTGGATTATAAGGTAAAATTGTTTGTATAGACTATTATACTCTATGTATGTCAAGATTTGAACAAGGAAGAAAGAAAGAAAAAAAACAATGGATTTCAAATGATTCCTTACATGTAGTCTTTTCAAATTTACTACATCGTATTATTTCAAATATATTCAACTTGATATGGTCCTTATTGTTGTAGCAAATTTAGGCTTATTTTCAAATCCAAATACTTTCTTACAAATCCTTCCATCAAAACAAAGCCTAACATTTTTATTGGAACACCACTACCGCTATTCATAATTTTATGATTTTAGGTCCCTCCCACTTGGAGAAGCCAAATCTGACCGAAATTATACCATATTCTAATTAAAATTAAATAGAGAAAATAAGGAGAACTACTGAATAATTTACCTCAAAGCAATTTTTTTCTACATGGTACTGCTCAAAATATCATCATGATGACAACTATTATAAACAAACTAAACTACTAAAATCTACCTTCAAACCTTTCTGCTTAATTTTTAATTTTTTTTTTTTTTTTTTTTTTTTTTTTTTATATATAAGGAGCTTCGGTTAATGGATCTTTCAAATAAACTTATTTGAGGGATACCTTTGTAGGGCCCCACTCCGCATTGTATCATACTAATCCAAACTATATATTTTTTAGATAATCATTCAAAGATCATCTCTACAAAAAATCACTTGAATTCGATATCATTTGACCACTCAATTGAGTTATTGAAATTTTAGTACTTTCTTGAAACACCGTGTTCATTGATTTTGTAGGACACATTGGACGTCAAAACAATTTCCGATTTGTCTAATTTTTTACAAGGATGATCTATGAATGTAGACTTAAAAAAATAAATGATTTGGATTGTTGGAATTTTTTTTTAAGGTACCCTAAAAGCTGTTCCTCAAATAAAATTATTTGAAGAATCCTTCAATAGAAGAGGGACTCTATATTTTGTATTTTAATGGCTAGGGAAACAGAGTTTTTAAATTCTTTTAAAGAAACTCAGGATCAAAACCATGTTATAGCGTGTATAATATCATGTCAGAACATATAAATGTAAAACTAATAGACAATTACTAGATACTCCCTGACCATTTTGTAATATCATGTTAGCAAGTCAAACACATAAATTTTTGAGTTATGCATGAAGCCCAAAATGGGAAGAAAACAACTTTACGTTTAGAAGCACATAATCCCATTCACATTTTACAAAGGCAAGCAATTTTTTTCGTCATGTGGGAGGTCACAGCAAGCTCGCAAAAATGCACCGGTTCTATAGCAAGCTTATTGCCTCATCAAGTGTTACCTCTCACGACCTTGAGCCATTGCAAAACAGCGAAGCTCAAGCACAAGCACGTGAATAATATTTCATGCTTAACAACCATCCTATTTAGTGCTAAGCCACTCGACAAGCTTGGGTTCAAGCTGTTAGACATATAGAAGTTTATCTCATTAAAGTGTGATCTTATAATCATTGAAGGATTCTAAGACTTGATATCAATTAGGAGTTCAAATACAACTAAACCTGCAGCTCTATTAAAATTAGTGTTTTAAGGCTAATATAAGAGCTAGAAGGATTCCTATATTAACTGTGGATTAGATGTTATAAACCTAATACAATAAGGACTTCTTAAGAGTTTTTTGATGGGCAAGACTCTTAAGTAGATGCATATAAATACAAGTGCCCCTGCTCAACCGATCAAGCCAACCCACACAAAAGAATTCACCCATCTAGAATGAGTGTATGAAGGGATCGGATTGAGGAGATGTGCTCTTGTATATTCTTGATGTGTGTTTTATCATGTGTAGTCATTAATATAGTTTACACAAGCCACGTAAATGCATAGAGCTTGTTGAGTGGGTTGTGGTGTGGATGGGTACGAGGGTCTATAAGGTCCATTGAGGGTTCAAAAGGTGGAGATTTTGGGCTGATTAAGAGCACCAAAGAAGAGAGAGGTTTCAGCACCCTTTTAACCAATCCAGAGCCTTTAAAAGTTTAGTTCACCTAGGAGCAGTGGCGGATCTGTGCAGGCGCAAGGAGGTGCGCCTGCACCTCCGGTGGCCGGAAATAACCATTACAGACGATGTAGCTGCACCTCTGCTTCAGACCTGCGATGCACACAACGTGCTCGATGAAATGCGCAAACCACTGCTGCCTGCTGGGGGAGATGCTGCGCGCAGCGCGCTCGCGAGGTTCTTTTTTTTTAACGAAGCCTGGCCAAAACGACGTCGTTTTGGACCAGGCTGTTTAATATGCGCTGCCTTTTTTTTTTTTTTGAAAAACCTGGCCAAAACGACGTCGTTTTGGACCAGGGTTTTGAAATAAAAAAAAAGGAAACAAAGGGAAACTGACGTGGGCTTTTTGTGGGCTTTTGAAAAAGGGCTTCTATTTCCTTACTTAATTGGGTTTTAATTGAAAGTTCTTCTTAAACAATTGGGTTTTGAGAATTCCTTAATTAAATAGAGTTGGAAATTCCTTAATTAAGTAGAATTGAGAATTCTCTTTATAAAAGACCAATAACATCACCCAATTTCATCAAAGTGTGTGTGCATCACAAGAATCCTGCAATTTTTTTTCTTCTTGAGTACGCCAATCCAAAGTAAGTCGAATGCTTTTTTTTTTTCTTGAGCAAACACCAATTTTGTTTATTCTTTTTTTAATAATTTTTTTTTCTTATTTAGCTCTTTCTATATTAGTAAGATCAGTAGCAAACTCGAGGAGAAAGAGGCTACGTGACACGTTATTCGAGGTATAATTAATTTTTATTTATTTATTTAATTGATAATTATTTATTTAATTGATAAATTATAGTCAATTAGTCATAATAATATATATAAAACCCTTATTTTGTTTCAATTGTACAGTTATGGAACGGTACTTTCAGAGAAAGAGTTTAAATCTTCCTTCAAATAATCTGGGTAGCTCAAATCCTCCTTCGAATCATCTGTCTAGTTCCAACCCTCCTTCAAATAATCCGGTTAGTTCCAACCCTCCTTCAAATAATCCGGCTAGTTCAAATCAACCTTCAAATAATCCGCCTACTGAGTTGGATGAAATATTAGCTAATCTTCCTGCAGACCCTGGCCTTAGACCTCCAATGACTTATTATAATCCCAATTTTCGAGAACAAATCCGAAGAGCCTATCTGCAAAGGGGTCCTTGTCAGCCTAAAAGCCAAAACGATATGCCTCAAACACTTATGGGGGAGAGTAATCGACGTTTTCTTGTGAAATGGTTTGATTCATTTGTTTGGTTAGAGTATAGTAAAGAGAAAGATGCTGCATTTTGTCTTCATTGTTATCTTTTTAAATGCGACTTTGATAAACAAGGAAAGGCTGGAAGCGATGTCTTCACTGAGAAAGGGTTTAAAAATTGGAGGAAGGGACTTGAGAATTTTAGGGACCATGTTGGACAAGTTGGAAGCCTTCACAATAAAGCTACACAACATTGTATAGATTTAATGAATCAGAAGCAACACGTTGAAACCATTGTGATCAAGCAGACAGACCAAGCTCGTGTTAATTATCGCATTCTATTAACTGCCGCACTTGATTGCACTAGATATTTATTACGACAAGGTCTTCCTTTTCGTGGCCATGATGAAAGTGAAACATCTAGCAATAAAGGTAATTATGTGGAGCTTTTGCAATTTCTTGCCGATCATGATGAGAAAGTTCGTGCCGTTGTGTTTGAGAATGCTCCAGGGAATCTCAAGTATATTGCTCCTAACATTCAAAAAGAACTTGTCAATTCTTGTGCTATTGAAACCATTGATGCAATTATTAGGGATATAGACGATGCATTCTTTTCTATATTGGTAGATGAATCACGTGATGTTTCAATAAGAGAGCAAATGGCGGTGGTGTTGCGTTATGTGAACAAAAAAGGGCAAGTTATTGAAAGGTTTGTGGGTGTCCAATATGTCTCTGATACGACTAGTAGCAAATTGAAAGAGGCAATTGAGCAGTTGATTTCTTCAACAAATTTGAGCATGTCCAGGCTACGAGGACAAGGGTATGATGGAGCTAGTAATATGAGAGGTGAGCTCAATGGTCTTAAAACACAGATTTTGAGAGAATATCCTCAAGCATATTATGTCCATTGTTTTGCACATCAACTACAACTAGCTCTTGTAGCCGTGGCAAAGGGTAATGAAAATATTGCTACTTTCTTCACAACGGCTAGTAGTGTTGTTAACATTATTGGAGCATCGTGTAAGCGTCGTGATGCACTTAGAGAGCAACAACAAAAAGATATTATGAAAGCTCTTGAAATTGATGATCTTGAAACAGGGCAAGGGTTAAATCAAGAGACTACTCTCAAACGTCCTTGTGATACACGTTGGAACTCACATTATGATACTTTACTGAGTATTAATACTATGTTTCACCCCGTGGTGAAGGTGCTTGAATGGATTGTTGATGATGTCAACCAAGATAATTTAGGTGAAGCAAATAGGTTATTGAAAGAAATACAAACTTTTGACTTTGTGTTTCACCTATATTTGATGAGATTTATATTGGGAATCACAAATGATTTGTCAAAGGCATTACAAAAGAAAGATCAAGATATTGTGAATGCAATGATGTTGGTCCAAAGATGTAAGCAAAAGCTACAATCTATGAGGGATGATGACTTTGATGATCTGCTTGGCAAAGTATCAATATTTTGTGGCAACAATGATATTGATGTTCCTAACATGGATGATTTATTTGTACCACAAGGGAGATCACGTCGTAAAGCTCAGAAAATCACAAACCGCCATTATTATCGTGTGGATCTATTTTTTACTATCATTGATAAGCAACTAGTGGAATTGAATAATCGCTTCACTGAGGTAAATACTGAATTGCTTCTTTGTATGGCATGTTTGAGTCCGGCTTATAATTTTGCAGCTTTTGACAAACAAAAATACTTCGTTTTGCTCAATTTTACCCTCAAGAATTTAATGACCGAGACCTCATGAAGCTTGAAGATCAACTTGGGCTTTATATTGTTGATATGCAGAGCAACACTGTGTTTTCATCATTGAAAGGAATTACTGATCTGGCAGAAAAATTGGTGAATACAGGAAGGAGTAGAATATACAACTATGTATATTTACTTCTTACATTGGCTTTAGTTTTACCCGTTGCAACAGCTTCAGTTGAGAGAGCTTTTTCAGCTATGAATATTGTGAAAACACCATTGCGTAACAAAATAGGGAATCAATGGTTGAGTGATAGCTTGGTTGTTTACATTGAGAAAGATGTTTTTTCTTGTATTAGTAATATAAATATAATGCGACGTTTTCAAGATATGAAATCTCGTCGGCAACAATTGTAGGGTAATTGTAATGATATTTTTTTAATGTATTATGAATAATATTAGTATTGTTTAAATTATAAGGTTATTTTTTTTTTTTTTTTTTTTTTTTTTTTTTTTAGCTTTTGAAAATTGCACCTCTGCTGAAAAATTCCTGGATCCGCCGCTGCCTAGGAGCACAAGCTGCTGGAAGAAAAGCCAACGTCCTTTTCAATTTGACCAGCACCTTCACCAAAATTGCCTCTATAAGTTCTCATAGGAAAATAAGGAGAGAAAGCGAAGTGGAGGCGTTGCCAAGAATGAAGGTTACTAGAAGGCTTAGTTGCAGGAAAGCGTTGGGGCGCTAAAAATCTTTGTCTTGATGCGCTTGGAATCAACAAGTTTCACTCAAAAGGGCTGAGTTGGGAAAATGAGAAGAAAAGAGAGGAAAAGACTTGGCCAAGCTCTCTCTTTCTCTTTCTTTCTCTTGCTAAACTTGTGGAGACTTAGCTCCCATGCCACAAGCTTCTCAGGTCAAGCCAAAATTTTGAATCACAATAATCATCAATCTTCTTGGTGAAAGAGACCAGGGCACTCCCTAGGGATCCACAAACCTTTTGAGTTGTTTGGGATCTGATACTTGAACTCAGGCACATAGGCAACATTGCTCACTTGTTCTTTGCAGCACCCCATGTCCATATGGAGCTGCTGGAACAAAAGGCCCCTACACTTCTTAAAATTGAAGATGAGCTCCTCCTAAAACCAATGTGATTTTGACACTTTTCAAATTCAAGCAAAATGTACAAAGTTCCAACATAAAAGAAAAGTGAATATTAAGGGATTTGTCAAGTGTCAAAACCATAATGGTTTTAAGTAGGAGATCCTCCTCAATTTGAAGGAATCAAAATTTTTTCTAATTAATACTAGTTTACTTTTATAATAATATTAATTGAATTGATAATTAATATTAACAATAGATGAGTCTTAATTTTTTTTTAAAAATATCTTCTAATTATATGAAATAGTTATTAATATTTTCTTATTTTATAAATATATTATCTATTAACTTAAGAGTAAGCCGAAATGTCCCATGAACTTGTTCTTTACTTTTGATTTACCCCTGACCTTTTTCTTAAGAAAATTAAGTACTTGAATTAAAGTTTAACACAAATTTTCCCCTCACTGTCATTTTTTTAGACATTTCATCCATGTTTCCGTCAAATTAGTCATATGAGAGGCATGTGACGACCTTTGTGAGGGCAAAACCTTCCATTTTGTGGGTCATATAAAGTTCAAATCTTTGAGCTCGAACTAAAAGGTTGTTTTCGCATGACTTTTCAAAGTTTCCTAGGGCTTTAACTTTTGTGGAATTGCGGAATCAACAAATCTAGGTTATAGGTGGACTTTGTAAGTGGTTAAGTTAGGGACAATATCGGTATTGCTAGTAGTGGCCGCTAGTTCGTGTCTTTGAAATTTAACATGGTCTCAGAGTGGGTTGATTGATTGGGCTTGAATTACTGAGCCTTTATTCGTTACCCATATGTGGTGTCATGTTGCGAACGTTTATCCTTACCTAATATGTGGTGTTCACATGTTGGGCTTGAATGTTTGATTCGATGTGGACTTGGCACTACGTGTTGTGTACTATGTGGTGGTCCCACGTGAAGGGGCGTGTTGAAGACTATAAGTTCCACATCGAAAACTTGGCTAAATAAAATACAACATATAATGAATAGTTCCACTGCTAATATCACTGAGACCTTTTGTGATAAAACTCCAAACCTACTAGACTTTGTAGAAGGTTAAGTTGGGGGCAATATTGGTGTTGCTAATAGTGGGCTGCTAGCCCGTGTCTATGAAATTTAGCAGATTCGACGAAGCTAATGGAGGATTTAAGATTCCTCTTGAGGTGCGGAACATGGGGAATCCTCCCAAGTACAATAAGTGGTCACTTTTCCCTTTTTTTCTTTTTTGCAATTGTTTAAGCTTTTGTGATCCAATGTGTGTCGGTTGAACATGACTTCTTCTCTCCTTTTAGGACTTGACTGAGATTCTCATTTTGTTTTCAAATGCATGTGTGGTCCAAGTTGTCAGTGTGTGGCATGTACTTGCTTGTACCTTTCTCTACCTTGAGTAAATATGTGCATAAGTTCAAAATCAAATGGGGTCAATTGGTAGGTGGTTGTAGTAAATGTAATTTGCTGCAAATAGTTGATTATTGTCAATGCTTGTGTGTTTTTTCAGGTGATCCTGATATTTTCACTATTGAAATTCACTATGGAGGTGAATTTAAAAGGGAGAAATATGTTGGTGGTGTTGTCCAGTGAGCTGACAACTGTAACATTGACCATATGTCAATGCTTGACATATTTGATCTCGCAGCATTACTTGGCTATGACCATTTAAACACTGACTATCCAGGGATGGCAATAGAGCTAATCAAGGATGGTTATACCATTATCATCCCCATATTTGTTAAGCATTTTTTCACCATCCTTGCCCTCATTGGGAATGGTTTCCAGGCCTCGCCCCATTAAAGAAAAAGTAAAATGAATTTTTATTAATTAGAAATCTAGATATGACAAAAATACTAAAAATTTAGAGTATTTGTTTAAACTAATACATGTGAAAACTACATCTAAAACATATATCAAAAGCGAAAGCATTTTACTTAAAACTTGTTGGGCTAAGTCTATTTCATTTTTACCTATGTATCTTTGAGGTCTAATCTCTTTATACACAAAATAAAAAGGGAAGAAGGATGAGAATATACCCTTGAAGCTTATCTTGGCCAAGTTTGAACACCTTTAAGAGCATCTCCACCCTAAAAGGCACGGGCAAGGCAAAGGCAAGGTAAGGTTTGACACTATTCACATGAATAGTGGTAGCCTTGCCTTTTTTGGTTCCACCTCAAAGGGCAAGGGCAAGGGCAAGGGCAAACACTATTTCATTGACTTTATTTCCTTTTTTTATTTATATTTATTTATACTTAAACCATTAATTTTGATAAGCTTTTCAGATAATATTTTCGATTGCCACGTGCCACTATTTATTATAAAATTCTCACCTAAAATTTCAGATAACATTTTCGGATAAAATTTTAGAATTAAATTTTCGGTTGCCACGTGTCCATCAAATTTCAGATAAGATTTTCTCCACAAATGGAAAGTAGTAGAAAAATATGAGTGGAGAGTAAAAAATATTGGGAGGAGAAGAGTTGTATGTAGATTTGGTGTGGAAAGTAAATAAAATGGTTATGTATTTATAGGGAAAAAATCCATAATTTTGTGGGATATTTTAAAAAAAAATTCGAATTGTTTTTAGCCAAAAAAATTTTGATTTCACCTTGCTGACGTCACGCATGATGTCAGCGACTTCGGGCTAGAGCCCAGTCAAGAATTGTGTTGAGCGGTGGAGGTGCTCTAAAGAAATGCCTTCTATCTTCCTTAAGGTTGTAGAGATTCTTCAACAAAGAGGCACCAAAGGAGATGCCCTCTATTTCACCACACCAAATGCAAAGGAGGTGGTGAGGACATCAACCAAGATGATAGAGATGCTAGACTCCCTCTTCGTGGACTGATTTTTGGCAAACAATGGAGGGAGAAAATTCTCACCTTCAACGCTAACACCTAAGAGCTTAGGAGGTCAAAACCCTAACTAGAAAAATGTCAGTGTGAATTAAATAGATAAGACACATAAGAGAGGAGAGGCTCTCCCTCTATGGCTGGCCATGGGTTCATGGGCTTTCTTTTGGGTCTCATGAATTTGTGTTGTCATACAACACTTATTGTTGGGTCCAATGGGTATTTGGGCATTTTACCTTTTACACTTAATGATTTAAAACCCTAATGTCAAAACTAATTTCATAATTAACTTTTAATTACGAATTATAACTTAACCATTAAGTCCCATTAATAGTCTAAATTGTTTGACTTAGTTAATTGCATGGGTCAAACATGTTAACCTTTGACTTGACCGTTGAACTTTGACTTTTGACCTTTGACCTTTGACCTTTGAGTTTTGATCTCAAGTTTCTTTCCTCTTCATATGTTCCTCTAATTAAATTTTTCGTTGTGTGATCCGCAGGTTCCATCTAGCAAGGTAGTGGGTTCTCTCAACTTCTATGAGTTTACTTGTGAATTAAATCTCACTGTTTAAATCTTCCTACTAGTGAAGGTCAATTGTGATTGAACCTTTCAGGACTTCCACAAACCATGGTTGACGCCTCATAGCATATCATAGTTATCCAAGCTAAATAAGATATAGTGAAGAACCTATTCAAGTTGGTATGATCGTGCAATTGAATCCTTATCTTGAACAATACTCCTTATTCACATTATTAAATTATGGAATCTTATGTCAAATACTTTAATGTGAATTATTCCTTATATGATTATCCTAGTTAGATTGAAGACTTCTTCTTTCAAATCTTATCCACTACTTTGAGCAAAGATCTGATTAATCATATCTTAGGAATATTCTCTCTCCTTATTGAGAATAGAGATCCTTTGTTGTACATTCATTTGCCCCTTTGGTTATGTATTATATAGCACAACTGTTTAGTGCCTTCAAAGACACACAACATAGTTACAAGACAACTATGATGTTTTAGGTCTAAGGATTAGTTTGTACCATTGCAACTTATGAGTTCTAGTTTGAGATGTGAGTAAAGACTTCCATTGTAGAACTCATATCTTTGATCGCATTCAGTGTACTTATTCACCTACAAGAACCTATACACATATCTTGGTGTCACCACACTTAATGACTTAAGACATTGTCATCCTCTAATTAGAGAAGATATTGTGTGCACTGGTCTCAGTGGAAGATCAATGCCCAATTGATAACCCTATGACAAGGAACACTTTTAGTATATGACTAGGGACCATGAAAAGTCTCAACGTATGTAATCTCATAACATAGTTCTCATGTCCTCTTTCATATTCCTAGGACTATTGTTATTTTACATTTCTTAATATAGAATAATAATCATGATTTGAAAACAACTGTTCTTGCCCATAAATAACTTGATAAGCCATTACAAAAGATGTCCTTAACATTAAGTATTACATAATTAGTTGGCTTTAAGGGCATACTACTAACGCATAATGGGGAGGTTACGGGGTGGGGATGGAAATACCATCCTCGACCCTCCCCGAACACAAAAATCGAAAATTTCCCCAACCCTGTCTTTGTACTCATTTTTTGTCCTTCATACCCGATTCATTAGGGGCTAAGCACCGGAGGGACTCGAATCCTCGGGGAAATTGCCATCCTTATGAGTATCACTATAGAAACAAAAGAAAGGCTTTTGTTCCACTACTAGGAGATGTCAATGTGCTTCTTTTGTTTTAGAAATACCTCCATCTAGGGTTCATTCTCTATACCTAACATCAAAGCCTCCCTTGGTTAAGAGTCAAGCTTCTACAACTGGACATCCTTTAGTTTTGAAGATCTACTTCACCTTGAATTGATAGGAATAAAACTGTTTGACTTAATCATCATACTAAATGCACGGTTCTCCCCCTACAAAGGTCGTCACATGCCTCCCAGGTGACTAATTTGATGGAAAAATGAATCAAATTCCTACAAAACTGACAATGAGGGAAAATTGGGTGTATAATTTAATTCAAGCACTTCATTATATTTAAGAAAAACGGTAAGGGGTAAATTGAAAATAAAGAAAAAATTCATGGGGCATTTCGGCATAATATTGTTAACTTAATTATCACGCCGAACCAGGTTGCCCATTGCCCAAAAAATAACATCGCGCTCAGACTAGCCCATTGAGCTTAGGCCATTTTTATGGGCCTATTGTTGTACATTGATGTTGATCCTGAAATTAATTATGGGATGTACATACATGTTGGTTTACGAGATGTTAAAAGTAGGGAACTTGCGAAGAAGGTCCCATCTATATCCTTGTCCTCGTCCCTTTCCATGTCGCCTACAGTGTAACATCTAGAATGGGAATCTAGTAGCGATATCTTTGGTTGTAATCCTCATAACTGCAATAATTTTGTGGGTGAAGCATTCCTCATCACCTTTTATGGTCTCGATTTTTCTAGAATTTGTGCAGATTCTGGGAGAAAAATGAGCATTAATTTTATAAATAAGGAATCAACAAAATAGCTTTATCAAACAACTTAAGATATTACCATAATGTGGCTCCATAATTTGAATAAATAGGCCCGTGTCATATTATATAATTTTCAATAACACCGAGACATCTAAGCTTCTCGGTGTTCGGTTGGATGAACAAGGCCAGTGAAAATTGCCTTTGTCAAAATATCCACCATCATATTGAATGCCTGGTTGTCCCCACTAAGGTCGTTGCATGCCTCCTACGTGACTAATTTAATGGAAAGATAGATGAAATGTCTACAAAACTGAGCCTATGATTCAATATAATGAGCATACGTGCCAAATCCGAGCTTATTGGCACATCATGCTCAACTACAAGTATTGGCGGGTAAAATTTACAACAACGAACTTCCATTACATAATGAACTATTCTGAATGGAACTTAGTTATCCAACACCCCAACTTCGATGACCTGGCTTGGGGTTTAAACTTCAACAAGTCATTGAATCCCTTTGGCACAATAAGTAAGTTACCTTCACTGAAATAATTAAGTTGGGACTATTAATTTGTGTAAATTATTATTATTATTATTTTCTCTCAATAGATGATACTACAATGCTATGGGGAATTGACTTCTTTAAAGACATAATCATGCAATCTGGGCCTAACAAATGTGTACAAAAGGAGTTGCTCTTCCACAAGGATCCAACAACCTTTACTTTGGAGGATGGTTAGGGGCTCCCTATGGTGGTATATTTCAACACAGATTACTGTGAAATGCCACATCTTGATGTTTATCCAAACATGCCAAAAATTAGGTCTTGGCTCTGCTTTTCTTCCATCTCTCCACTAGTGGTTACTATGGGCATATCTGTTGTTATTGTATTTGTGACATGTTATGTTTTGAAGTTGACTATGTCATATAGTTATTAATTTAAATGCTCTAGATTACAATAATATAAAGAAGTTGATTAAAATAATAGGAACAACTGACTAATCTAGTAATCTCTTCCAGATAAATTTATTAGTCTAGCGCTAGTGTGACAAAAAATATTGGGTCGGGCCAACTCATTGCAAAAAAAATAATGTCGGGCCTGGAGAATTTTTACATGTCTATTGATGCACATTTTTAATATCTTCAAATAAATTGTTGGATGGTAAACTACAGGTATATATGAGGTTTGTAGCATGTTGGTGAAAGCTAAACCATTTCTCACTGAAGATACCTTGTTTCTTTTGCTCTTTTAAATTTAGGTAGTTTTTTAACCCCTAATTAACGGAGAATGGGGATTTGAACTTGACCTATTAACTATAATGTGTTTGGGTGTCTTTTTATTTATGGTGGGCAATGCGTTGAATATAAATTTTTAGTATCGTAAGATGGTTTTTTTTATGTTATGTTTGATATATGTTTTTTTGGGGGTATGTTTTAAGGGATAAGGAAGCAGAATTTTAAATTCTCCTGAAGAAACTCATGTGATCAAAACCATGTTATAATGTGTATAATATCATGTCAGGACATATTAATGTAAAACTAATGTCAACGGAGTCTAGCCCAGTGGAAAAAGGGCCTTAGCTTGAATCTGATACTGGTCACATTCAGGCTAACTGGAGAAAATTGCCACCTTGGTCTTGGTGCCCTCAACTATATGAGTCCTTGAACTATGCAAATGAATGCAACATGAATGATAAAAGTGTTTGATAAATCACCAAGTAAACATGGAACACTTGATGATTTATCTCAAATAAAAACTATGCTTTACAAAGTTTATGGACTGAAAATATGATTATGAAAGCTCAAAAAAAAGGTCCTTAAAGCTGTCAAGAATGAAGAAGACAAAAAAGCCTCTTTGATAGGCTTTTGTTCCACCAAAAAGAAAACACGTTGAAAGCAAAGATTGCTTGATTGGTAAAACATGAATTAAATCCCAAATATATTTTCCTTTTCTTTAAATGATTGAAATTAACCCAATAGAAAAGGCAAATAGACAAGAAAAGAAGGTTTTAATCAATCACAATCTCAAAGCAATCAAAACGATCAGACACCTTGATATTGTGATCTAATTGAAAACATGATTTCCAAGCAAGTTATTTAAAGAAATAATAAAGAAAACATATTGAAAATTATGTCTAAATGAGATCCACTCCTAAAAGGATTCTTATTGACATAATAAATGCCAAAAATGTTCTATCATGTGTGCATGAGAAATGACATGGCTTACCATTGGATCAAATGTCTTACATGTGTTAAGTCACAATTTTGTTATTCGGGGATTGTTGAGCTGTTTCAATCCTGTCGTTTCTGGAAATCAGAGACAACAATTCTATTTCAACCCTACAACTAAATGACACTTCCAAACCTATACTAATTTATAGGAAATGCCAACACAATATTTCATACTAACAAATTGTCACCTCTGATGATTTAAATAAGGCATAGTGAAGGCTGATGTGATTTGTGTTACCAATGTTGCTGTAATGAGGGTACACATTGGCAAGAAGTGTAACACCCCAACTCAATTTAAGTATTTTATTTAATTTCTTTAAACAGATAAATTACATTTTAGCCCTTGGGGCTAGAGGTACTTTAGTCACTTTTTGTTTGTGACGGATTTTATGAAAATGAGCGGCATTGTTGCGTAGAGCTCATCAATATGAGTCTGTAGACAGGCGGAACGCTCAATTCTGAGTTGTAACAAACGCGTAAAGGTCTGAAAACTGAAAGGACACATTGGGAATTTTTGAAATTGTTCAGAAACCCTAAATACCTCGCTTTCTCTCTCTCATTGCACACGCATCTTCCTCTCGTCTCTCTCCCTTCACCAAAACCAGGCCGGCCAGTTTTGGCCGGTGATCTCGGTGCTCCAGTCACAACCGGTCATGGGATCGGTCGAAAAGGACTGGCTAGGTCTGGCGATCAAGTCTAGGCCAAAGTACTGCCCCCTCAGCCACTCACGATGCCGACCCTAGCTCGAGAAAGGCCGAAAATTCAAAGTTTTCCAACACTGATTCTGGTGACTCCGACAGCCATTGATGACGATCCAGATATGGATTTCGATCCTCTCCTCGTACTCTTTTTGATTGTGTACATGGTTAGGGTTAATTTTGAGATTTGAGAGTTTGATTTAGACACCCTTAGAGGCCGGCTGTTTTGGCTATGTTTCGAACACCTCCGGCCGCTTTTTGGCTAGGTTACAAGAACCAATGCTCCCTTATTTGTCCTTGAACTGTGGGTATATTTATTGGCTGGCGAAAAATCTCTCAAGCCATCCATTGCTATTGGCGACGAGTGGCAGCACGTGGGCCACCTTGTGGCTGCCCATTGTGTTATAAAATGTTCCCCATGTCATCCCGAGAATGTCGGTATGCTTGAATTTGAAGTTGTTACCATTTCACTGTCAAACAAATATTGCACCTATTATGCGATATTCAGGTTTGATAGGTTAGGACCATTCAATCGGTTCCAATTTCAATTATGTTATTCCCTATACCTCTGGGATCGTGTAAGAACTTGCGGATCGAGAGTCAGAGTCTCGGATACTCCGAGTCAATGATTCTAGGGTTAGGCGAACCGATTGCCGTCCGACTGACTTTGATTCGACCACTCGATCGAAACTAAACTCTTGGGAAATGTTTAGTGGATTGTATTGGACCTATAGAAATTGTGGGATCGGAAATCGGAGGTCGTGGGCCCCAGCTAGTTCGGTTGACCTAGAAGATAGCCCTCATTGACTCGGTTGACCAAATGTCTGCCGTGATCATTTTGGGATCTACTTCTTAGACTCTTAGGGTTCCAAGAAGCTAGGATTGTATATTAAAATCTCGTTTTGGTTTTCAGTTTGTTCTAGTGCTAGTATCTCTTAAATTAGGTTCTTCGGCGCAGTGTATTGCTCAGGGTTAAGCTTGCTTCGGACTTGTTGTAAGTGGACACTTGTTCTAAATGGTCATTATAATTCAAATATGGAATTGCATGCATAAATGGGTTTTGATTGAGAATCTGATTGTTTTGGGTTATGGGGACTTTGGAGTTATATTATTGTCTTAACTACAGTTGTACAATGTCTATGGGATTTTTGGTGCTTAAGAATATTATAAAGTATACGAATTTTGAGTTTTGGATTGTGATGGTATGGGGTCGTTTATGCTTCTTGGATATTGATTATGTTTATGGAATTTGGATATACTTTGGGATATTGGATTTATATGGCTACATACCACTATAGGTACCTCCCCTAATTCGTTATGGAAAGGATGATGGAAATTATGGAAAAGATTTATAGTTGGTCTTTGGGATCCAGCAGGGCACACATATACTCTTTGGGAGGTGTGTTAGAATGTTAGTCTACTCGTATGACTGAATCAACCGCACGTGAGATGCAAGTTCTGACATGCGTGTTGGGGAGCAATAGTCCCCCGGTTTGACTGCTCATCCCTAGCCATATGTGTAATGCATAGTCCTACCATGTGGTTGAGAATAAACGGTCCCCGAGATGGATTGTTTTCCCTAGTACATATCTTGATGGGGGTGCATGTGTGTGTGTATATGTTGATGCCCTTTTTGGGAGGTCAACTTAGAGAGAAGTGGATAGACTCCAGCATGGGAGAAGGTGATAACATTCAGCAAGTGAAGAGCCTGCAGAAGACAAAGTAGGAGAAGCAGTCGTTAAGCTTCAGACACTAGTGTGGTGCTGGCCGAAGGCTCCCCGATGCTTAAGTCAATTATGAGTGGTAAAATTGGCAGAGTAACAGTAAAAGTGGGAGAGTAGTTATCCTTTTTACTTGGGTACTATTCCCTATTTATAGGGAAGTGAAAATGAGAGGTTTGCACAAAGTTTCGATGTGGGACTTTGTGTAAATCGCTCTGGTGGTGACACGTGTCTTGGAGATTAGGTTCGACAGTTAAGAGCTTCGGCAGTCGGGAGCTTCGACAGGTGTTTGGCACCTTGGAAGAGTGTCTTCCTTTGGTAGGGAAGAAGGCATGTCTGCCTTGGTGTTGGTCGTTTTGAGGTCGGATATACTCGGTTGATTATGGTGTAAACAGTAGTCCCCCAAGTTCGCGGTCAAGAAGTAACTTATGGGTTGGGAACTTGTGAGTTTTTGTGTAATCATGACCTAGCATTCCAGATTCAGTGGGAGCCGTAGGGCATTCCTTAGTCTCCCAAGTTGACAAGCTAAAAGTTGCGTCAACACTTGGAAGTTATGGGAAAGCTGTGTGAGCCTCTAGAACTGTTGGTAGCTGGGTACCTGAGTGTTCGAAAAGGATAAGGTAGGTGACCCTTAGTATTTACGACTCGGATCTTGCCGTTCGGCAAGGAACACGTGTTTCGGCGTAACCTAGAGCCAGGCCATGGTGAAAACTGAGAAAACTTGGGCTTTCGCCGGACCCCTTGGTAGGCTCAAGGTTTGGAGCTGGGCCCTCATTGTTTCGGCAGGATTGAGAATCTGCCTTTGGGCTTAGGCAAAGCCTTAGGGTTTGGGAGGATGGTGTGCAACAATTCAATATCAGACCTGCTGTTCGACAAGGTTAAGTTGAAAAGGAGCTATACACCTTTGCGACTGCAGTCGAGTCAGCAAGTTTGGTTTAGCAAGAGTTAAGACCTCTACACATTCGGCAAGGGTCTGGGCGTTTCGGCAAGGCCTCCGTGTTGGAGGTTCGGCAAGATCCTTGTGCCTCTATTTTTATTGCACAACCCTTGCCGTTCGGCAAGGGTGTCAGAAGTTCTCGACAAGGGGACTCCAGCTTCACAAGGGTGATCTTTGAGGGGCTGTTTCGCGAGTATCGCCATTTTCACCATACTTGATGATCGGCAAGGTCCCGAGTAGCCCGTGAAAGGGGTTGAGTTGGTGCGTTCGGAAAGAATGTATTCTTGTGAGTCCGTGAGAGCTGCTCACGGTTCCCACCGTTCGGCAATTGTGAGTTGGCGTGATTTCGAGTCTGTGATATGTGAGTTTGTCCTTGGATCGTGAGTTGCCCCATTAGCTTTTGTTTAGGCAAGCTTTGAATGAATTGTTTGGGTGGAGCTAGATTCTACAGCTCCTCAAGTTTGTTGGCTTCGTAAGAGTGGGTCTCTGGAGCCGCTGTATAACATTGTCGTTGGGCAAGGAGAGCCGGATCAGATTCGACGAGTGTGGACTTGGGATTGTGACTGTTGTGAGCTTTGTCGTGGGTTCGGCAATGGAGCATCTCAGCAAGGTTTGGTGTCTCTATCCTCAGCAAGAATTTGTGTGCTTGATTCCCTTTCGAAAAATTGTCTATTTGTCTTCGGCAAGGGTGTTTGATGTGAGTGTTCGGCAAGGCCAAAATTTTGTTGTCTTTGCAAGTCCCCACAATTTTTCCATGGGCCTTGCTGTTCGGCAAGGCCAGCTCGTTTTTTGAAATGATGAGTTGTGTTGCTGTAGCGTAGACCTTCGGCAAGAGTTCTGTAAGTGACCTGTGAGTTCGGCCTTCATTTCGCGAGTCTTTTTCTATCAAATTTTTCATGGCCCTTCTTGCGTTTGCTCAACCCTTGCCGTTCGACAAGGGTGGTTTGGGAGAGCATGGTCTTCTAATCTTCGGGAAGATCTAAGAGGGAGAACCGTGAGGTCTTGCGGGGGTGGCAGTTTTGATCGGTAGGAGTTGATGCCGTTCGACAAAGATCTGGGTCCTTGTTTCTCGTGGTGAGTTGGAGCTGAGTCCTTGGTGTTGTGAGCTTGTGAATTTCCCTGTCCTTAGCAAGGGTGATTCGGTACAAACTTTGGAGCTCGAGCCCGAATTCAGAAGCTGTGGGAGATGCCATTTGTTCTTAGATCGGTGGGTACCCAAATATGTTCTTGCTCAGCCCTTGCCGTTCGGCAAAGTTGACTTGGGGGTAGGTTTCAGTAGTTTCATTTAGAAGAAACCATTGACCCCATTGTTGTTTTGGTTGTAGGTTCAACACATCCGAGCTTCGGCGAGGGGCCTTGAGGTTTTCGGCAGTGATTTGGGAGCTGGGTGTCACGAGTTAGCAACTTGGGCAAGGTGAATTTTGGTGACCCCTAATTGGTTCTGCACGAACCTTGCCGTTCGGCAAGGTCCTTTCACATTCCTTTCTCCTTTTTAAATAAAAAAAAAAAAAAAAAAAAAAAAAAAATTGAATTGAAATTGGATTGGAAATTCAATTCATTGTTTGGAGTAGGTATAAGGAATTTGATAGGGAAGGTGAAAGGGTGCTAGGGTTTTCTCGTGAATTGAGGCGATTTTACCCTTGGGGCTTTATAAATAGGAACTTGGGGTGACGAAGGCATCACACTTGGGCAAGGTGAATTTTGGTGACCCCTAATTGGTTCTGCACGAGCCTTGCCGTTTGGCAAGGTCCTTTCACATTCTCTTTCTCCATTAAATAAAAAAAAAAAAAAAAAAAAAAAAAAATAAATAAATGGAATTTGTATTTCAAATTGTTTGGAGTAGGTATAAGGAATTTGAGTGGGAAGGTGAAAGGGTGCTAGGGTTTTCTTGTGAATCGAGGCGTTGTTACCCTTGGGGCTTTATAAATAGGAACTTGGGGTGACGAAGGCATCACACTTGAGTTTTGGAGAAAAAATTTCTAGAAATTGAGAAGGAGAAAAGAGATTTCCGGCGAGATACCTCGTGGTTGTGCTGTGGCCAAGGTGATTTCCGGCGTCTTAATGTGGTGGTGCAAACAAGGTTAGACCTCATTTCCCTTGAACTTTTGAATTGAAATGTCCTTTTTGTATGAACATGTTGAAGACTAGGATGAACACCTTGGATATGAGTATGAACTTGATAACCACCTTGAACATTGATATGAACATGTTGAATGTATGTTTCGATCTTTCTTGCATGTGCATTAGTTCATTTTCCTTGTTTATGCATATTGTAGATGTCTGAAAGTTCTGATAGAGAAAGTCATGACCCCCCTGCCTTTGGTGGGGAAGATACTGAGAGCGAGGAGCCCAGCCAATATGTTTGTTCTGAAGATGAGAGTTCCCAGACAAAGGGTGTGGTAGAAGGTATGATAGAAAGTAGGATGGTAGTGCATGAGGGTGAGAGAGGTGAGCCATCAGTAGATTCCCAGGAGGCTGAGTACAGAGAGATGCAGAGGAATTACAAAGTGTTAGAGACTGTGGCTGATCGGGTTCTAGCCTTGCCTCATACACCAGAGGTGGTCTCGAGCAATCAGATGGAGTGGACGTACGGGTGCAGATGATGTTGGCCAAGTTGGGGTATGCGCCGGGGCAATATAATCCAACTTTTGGATTCTTCTTCATGGGGTTTATATTGCTTGGTGGTTGGCTGGGTTGAGGGAGCCAACATTTGAGCAATTCATGTATTTGTACTCTATTTCGAAGCAACAAGGGAATTTTGGCTGGGTACAAGCCAATTGCGAGAGAGGTTATTTTATTAGTCACAAGCTTTCTACTCAGAAGTCCAGGAGGAACAAGTGGTGTTTGGCCTACGGTGATTGGGAGTGTCTGCCTGGGAAGACCGTCACCAAACACATTTGTATCCACTTCCTTTCTATAGGTCCTTGGCCCCATCCCTTAAGACTAATTGTTGTTTTGTTGTGTTTTACCTGCTTTCGCTCTTGGTTCTCCATTTTTACTTGTGCAAGTGTAAATGGCTGAATAGTATCTAACCTTTGGTGCAAGTTCGGTGAAGTGGGGGCCCATTTCCAAGGAGGAGGAGGACGAGGTTGAGAGGGTGAGGTCATTGTTGTCAGAGACCGAGCATGAGTACCAAAACTTAGTCACCTAGAAGAATCTGTTTGAATCCGGCCTTTTGCAAGGAAGTGAGTACTTAGGTTACCTTTGTTGTTTGTCTTCTGATTCATTTTTGTAGTTGTGACTAACTTAGCTTTTGATGTGCATTGGCATGTATTGTAAAGGGAAGCATGAAGGTAGCTGTGGATCTTGATGAGGCTGAGAGGCAGAGGCGACTTAAGGAGTCTCGAGCGAAGAAGGCGGAGAAGGAGGGTGCTAGGCAGGCGACTGGTAAGCGCCCTACAGATGACGATGAAGGGCTGGTTGCCGATGTGATGGGGAAGAAGAAGGCGCTGCAGGAAGCTCACCAGAGTGTGGTAAGGGCAGGGCTGAGGCTTCCTCTCTTTGACCTGCAAGCACCACCGAAGCTCCCCTTCGGTATGGAGGATGTTTTTGTTGAGGGGGTGGAGAAGGTGGACTTCTCTATGCTGCATCGACATAAGGAGGTGAACCTTGCCATGCATCGGCAGGAGGTTCCTTTGGTGAACATCTTCCTGGAAGGCGTGAAGAGTGACCCCGAGGCTCTGGCGAGGACACATGCCTCCTCCTTTGTAGATCAGGCCCAGATGACGTTCCTCACCCATGCCTATGTAAGTTGTCTTTCTTTGTGAATTTATTCTTATCATTCTAGTTTGCTTCTAACTAATGATGCTTTATGTTGCAGGCCTTTGGTGAGATGTATGTCAACATAGCCAAGGCAGATAAGAAGATCCAGAGATTAAAGAGGCGCAATGAGATGACCAAAGACAAGATAATGGAGGCGCATGAGGCCATCCGAGAGAAGAACGCCCTGCTATTGTAGAAGGTGGCGCTGGCCATAGAGGTGGAGGAGCTGAATCAGTCGAGGGTCGAGGAGATAGCTGCTGCCCAAGCCGAAGCAGTCAAGTCGTTTCGGAGTTTAGAAGAGCTGCACAGTTACATCATGGATCGGTTGGTAGATGAGTAGCTTCATTGGGAGAAGAAGCTGCCGAGGTTCAACCCTTCGGTGGAGATCAACTTCGATACGAGTGGCGAGCCTTCTTCACCTAGTCCTACAACCGATGCCACTCCAGAGCCGGAGCCGACTACCACGGATGCCTCTTCTATCGAGTCCTGAAGGCGTTACCTTCCTTATGTACTCTAGTTATTTGTTTGGAACACTTTATGTTTATTTCTGCTTTGTATGAACATTTGGCCTTGCTTGGGGCAAGATTATTATGATTTGCTATGATATTAGACTTGTTGTCATTTGATATCAGTTGTGCTAGCAAAATGATAATCATTGATTGATAGGAATTAGCCAGGGTCAGGTGTTTCATTAGATAAGTACCGAAAGACAGAGGATACAAGAGATGGTTGAGGCAAGGCTCAAGACCAAAGTCTAAGAAAACATAATGCTCTAGGGTCTAGGTGTGTTTACTTATAGTAGTACTTGAGGTGATCAGCGTTCCAAAGATGAGGCAAAGTCTTGCCCTTGGGATCACGAAGCTGATAAGTGCCGGGGGTGGCAAACTTTGGTAGTCTTATAAAGACCTTCCCATGTAGGGCCCAAGGTACCTTAAGTAGGGTAACAAGTTTATGAAAACCAGGTTCATCTAGGTCTGGCCTATCAAGTTTTTTGTTTGTTTTTGGTTACAAGTGATATTGGGAAGAGGGAATCACATCTAGGACCTCGAGTGCAGGGATAGATGCTCTTAACCACTTGAGCTACCAGCCCCTTGCTAGCCTATCAAGTTTAAGCAAATGGTCAATGCGAGTATTTGGGTTTGCCTACCAAGTTTTCATTATGGCTCTACAAATGTTTGTAATATCCAAGAGAAAGCAGTGATTGGCCTGCAGGCCTTGATGGAATTGCATATGTTGGAGCCTTTATGCTACACAACACTATACATCTGCAAGTAATGGGCAAGAACTTGAACATTTCTACAAATGGACAAGAGAGAAAATGCTTGTGATTGCTTTTCCAGGAAGACCTTCAATCTTGTACTCCACACACAAGATTTAGCACACATTTTATACGTAAACTTTGGTACAAGGCATTTTGCAGCTCACAAGTAAGCCTAATATAATCTTAAAATCCACAAAATAGAGCATTGCAAGCCTGACCAAATACAAAAAGTAGATTTACAAAAAGGCATCTTCTACCATGTGCCAGAACAAGATGTTGAATTATGAAAGGAAAGAATGACCAAAACAGAGCCACACATTCTAATTTGAAATCAAGTCGCTTTGGCTTTGGCTTAGTTAATTAAAATAACACGAAAGCTGGAACTAATACATTAATCGGAGTGAGCTTGGATTAAAATGGATATGTTTATTTCTCTCAACAACAACAAAAAAAATAAAAATCGGAGAACTCCGAATTAATTGTTCTAATAAGTAATTAACACTAATATAACTCATATTTATTCCTACTAAGCACTCCAAATTAACTCATCAACTCTTCTCTAGATTGGTGCATGCGCGTACTAGCAATCTTCAATACTTTAAGTGAAAGGAGGCATTCAGCTACAGCTACTTTTCTCCTAATTTAGATGCTGCAGCTAAATATCAAAGTAAACAAATTAATACCCGTCAGTTTGGAGAAAAGAAAAAAATGCAATAAGGAAATAATTATAAAACGAAATTACTAATGAGAGAGAAAGAGTACCGCCGTGAGATTATCTATTAAGCATATGCTAGCTTTAGTTGCCACTTGATCAAAGCTATCCTCACATAAAGCCAATCATTTAAATCATTCAAGAACTTGAAGTATGCGTATCTCCATGGCCTATTGAATATCAAAGTGCCGCAAACTCCCCAAAATCCCGCAGCAAACCCAATCCCCATATTGATGTAAAATCCCAGTGTCATAAACTCGTCCTTATCCTCTTCATTGCTCAAGTCAGATGGCTCATTTTGATCAGCACACATTTTAAGTGGAGGTCCACAGAGTTGAGGATTTTCAGCATAATCAAGGGGATCAAAGCTTTGGAGCTGAGTGCCTATTGGTATTTTGCCAGACAAGTTGTTATATGACAAGTCCAAGAAACTAAGACGATCTATCCGAGCAAGGCTTGTTGGAATTCTTCGATTTATGTGGTTCCCTGACAAATCAAGAGAATCCAATGACTGCAAGTTTCCAATCTCTGGAGTTATTTGACCTGTTAACCAGTTTCTTGAAAGGTTTAAAGAAACCAACTCAACAAGATGAGTGATTTTACTTGGAATCTCCCCTGTTAATCTATTGCTTGAGAGATCAATTCTCTTCACAAGGCCCAAAGTGCTTTTGTATGTCTGCATTATTGCTTTCCATATGAAGCTTGCATCCTCATAATCAGTAAAAGCACGTGAGTTATCACCCCTATTTCTGTAATAAGTATGTGTGTTGGATAGACTTCGATTTCCTTTTTGAGCCAGAGTAGTCAAATTGTTGAGGCATTTGGGTATGCTTCCAGAGATGTTGTTCACAGAGAAATCCATAATTTGAATGTGTGTTAGATGGCATAATTGTGAGGGCATGCTTCCATTGAAGTGATTTGTGGAAAGCATCAGGATAACCAAATTCTTGAAGCTCACACCTAACCATGTAGGTATTGGTCCTGATAATTTATTATCTCCCAGATCAATAACTTCTAAACTTGTGCAGTTCTTCAACGATGAAGGCAATTCTCCAACAAATCGGTTGCTTCTTAATTTCAAAGTTTGCATTTGAAATAAAGAGCCTATTGTCATGGGAATTTTTCCGGAAAAAGTGTTGTTACTCAAATCAACCATGAATAGAGTCTCCAAATGGCTCCAGCAATCTGGAAGTTCTCCAGATAAATTGTTGCTTGAAAGATTAAGAAATGGTAAACTCATATCTGCACTTGCACATAGGAAAGAAAGCGACCCTGAAATATTATTAGAGAGATCCAGATATGAGGCTTGTGATAAGAGTTGAGGGAATTGGACCTTCTATTTGGTTCGAACTCAAATGTAGTTCTGGGTAATGTGCAAACTCCATTGTCAAATTTGTAAATATTCCTCTGATTAGGTTCTGTGAGAGATTAATAATGTCTGTGTTACGAAAATGACTCCAAAACCAACTTGGAAGGATATCAGAAATTCCAGCATTCGAAATATCAAGCTCGAAAGAATCATTTTGAGTTTGAAGCCATTTTGGGAAAAGAGGACCGACCTTGCAGGACTCCAAATTTATGTAATCCAACTGGAAGGGAGGAACCCAATCAGAATTGAAATTTAAACTAGTGAATTAGAGGATAAATCCAAAGATTTTAATTCGGCGAGTTTTGATAAATGAGTTTCTGAAACCACCCCTTCCAAAGAGTTTGTGCTGAAATGGATTTCCTCCAGTTGCGACATTTGCGCAATACTTTCAGGTATTTTTCCGCTTAATTGATTGGCATTAAGAGACAAGAATTTCAAAGATGAGAAGCTTGTAAGATTGTTTAATGACCCCGCAAGAACATTCTCAGAGAGTTGCAACACCGCTAATCAGTTTTGAGCACATCTAGGCAATAGTTGAACAAACTTGGATAATTGTCCACTCAGATGATTTGTGTCAAGTCACAATCTTCGCAAATTACACAGCCTTGCAAACAAATTTGGATTTGCTCCTTCAATTTGGTTATCAGAGAGATCCAGATACACAAGAGTGCTCATGTTTCCAATGAAATCGGGAATGAAACCAGTTAGATTATTGTTGGAGAGGCCAAGACTAACAAGGCTTGTACTGTAGTTGGACAACCAAAGAAATATTGACGAAGTGAGATGGTTATCATAGAGATCAACAATTTCCAGAGATGTAGAAGAATTTGTTTTGTAAAGAGTAGTGGAAAGAATTGGAGTAGGATGAGGAGGAAGACTACAGTTCTCCAAGGACAAGTCTACTAATTTAGGGACCTTATTAAGTACCGCTTCTGGCCAATCGAAAAAAGTACTGAGATTGGCTATGCTTAGGTCCAAATACGTTAAAGAAGAAGGAGCAGGGAGCCAATTGAGATTTTCTGCTTGAAGCAGATTATAGCCGAGGTCGAGATGCTGCAATTGCGTGAGGTTTCCAAACGAACTTGGAATTTGACCAACCAAATTACAGTTATAGAGTGTGAGGTTTCTTAGATTGGTTAGAGAACCAATGAAATCTGGAATTTGGCTCCCATAATTGAAATCAATGGATGCAAGGTGCAAATATTGTAAATGCTGCAACTCAATCAGTTTAGGACTAATCATCTTACCTTCTAAAAAAGATGAAAGTGGACCAAGTTGAATCACATGGCCAGTTGGTTGCTACAATAGACTCCTTTCCATCGGCAACAATCTTGTTTTTGGGCTTCTGAACCGCAAGAAGAGAGAGTACATTGAAGTGATCCACCAGGCCACGTTTGAATGCGAGTAGTGCTTGCCTTTCCCTCTCTATGCACCTCACTGTCACTTTAGCATCTCTGAGGCTGTGGCTGTGGCCAACTTCTCCTCCTTTTACGTTTTGTAGGAAAAGGATCGATAATGCAAGAAAGAGTTTCAAGCACCTTCCGTCGCCCTTCATGTTAATTGATCAAAAGCACATGCACATGCAAAAACACTGCAAGTATATATTGATATATGGTTGTCTCCGTGTTTCTCCATATATGCTAAGCTTGCGTCAGATATATATAGGAAAAAAGGAAGAAAGCCTTTACAGAGAAAAACACAGTTAAGCCAAAACAGTGCCACACATTCATACAAGACAAAACCATATAAAGGAGTAAATTATACATAATTAATGTTATGGAAATCACACGTCAATCACAATGAGAATAGAATGTCAAGGTGCAATTCTTACAAACAAGAATACAAATCATTATGGAGGTAATTAAATTAAGTACACTCTAATTGTTCCATCATAACTTATAGAAACCAAATTAATTATGACGCATGAGTTAAAACGTAAGATGCAGGAATAAAAGTAGTATTTTTTAATTTCGATAAAATAAAAGTACTATTTTTTAAATTTTGGTTAATTTTTTAATATAAAAAGAATTGTGTACGTTTGGTGACATAGCATACGTTTGGTGACATAGCATACTGTTTTGCTGAATAGTGACATAGCTCAATGATGCTCTCATACCATGCCATGTGGACAACCAACCCGTATATGTCGATTTAGTTTCAAATATATTTGAATGTATCATTCAGAAAGGAAAAACATTTCTTGTAACGGAAATAATACTATTTTGCTATCTCCACAATAATGCTTGAAAAAATTATCCTAATTTCAAGATGGAGTAAATTTTTTTTTTTAGGGTTAAATAAATTTTCTTTAGATGCAAAGGAAATTACTAAGACAATCAATGTGAGATCTATTGAAACACATATTTCACCGGTCAATAAAAAATAACACGTGAAAAAGAGTTATTCCTTAAATCAACTAATTATCTTATTTAAATCCTATTGAGCATTGGTCCACCTTTGTAATTTGTAACGTTGGGCAAGGAGCTTGCTGTGGACAGCTATCTTCAAGTAGACTTTGAAGTCTTTGTATGCAAACTCATGATGACTGACTCACACAAAAAGACTGTTAAGTCTACATACTTGAGTGTAAACTAGACTTTTAAGTCTTTGCACATCCACATTTAACTCAAACATCAACAAACGGTAATTTCTTTTTTTTTCCTCTTGCTTTTTTAATTGCTCAATTACTTTATTTTACCATTTTTATGCTTTTTCTTTGAAAGAAGCTCTTAGATATAGGTTCAATTTCACTTATGTCATAAGAATTGGACTATACCAAATTTTCTAAAAAGAAGATGAAAAAAACTGTACAATGTACAACCGACTCTTATTCATGTCACTATGTGGAAAAAGATAATTGAAGACAAATTTGTCAGTGGTCCAAGTAAACAAGTAATAAATCAATGAATATTGGGGAAATTAATGGATGATATCGCGAAGACTTGTGACTTAGACTTGATATGGTGATTTGTCTTTCAAAGCAACTATTGACTTAGACTTAATATGGTGATTTGTCTTCCAACGCGTGCCCCAATTGACTTGCAGGTATTAACTCGGCTTGACTTGGTAAGGTGCCTTCCTGTGTCCACTCAACCATTGGCTTTGCATCCCATCCCCCTAGGCATAAGCTACAAATATCTTCTTGCAAATGTGGACTTTAAGTGAAACATATGGAAATATCTCTACCCAATGTTAATTTATCTATATATTTATTGATAATAATATATGAAAGTTGGGTTTTTATTCAACAACTATGATACGAGAGTTTTTCAAAACACTTTGGTTATTGACCAAGTCTATTTTGAAATGCCCCTATAACCTAGTGATGATCACGAAACATTTAAGTATATTTAGTGTTGGATATCTGATCATAGAGTTTCGGAGCAGCTTCCTTCATTTTGCATTCGGATTCTTTGATTTGATTTGTTCTGTTGCTCATTAAATGATTAGTCTATGAATTATGTACTCAGTCCTGTTCTTCTGGACTTCTGTGGTCCAAGGAAATTGTGTCACCTACCCTTGGATATAATAATATAATATAAAAAAAAAAAAAAAAAAATAAAAAAAAAAGTTAAAAATTAAACAACAACTAAAAAAAAAAATAAAGAGCAAAACACGCTCCCAGTGAAGCAAGAAAGCTTGGGTGGTGAGATGCATATGGATTAATTGACGAGCAATTCTCAGTCGGAATAGGGGGCGAGATTTTGAAGACGATGAGCAATTCTCAGTCAGGTTGGGTAGTGAGATGCATCTGGATTTTTATTTTTTTTAACCATACCCAACCCAGATGAGAGAGAGGGAGAGAAGACAGAGACATGGGATAGAGGGGATTGGGGAAAGGGAGGTGCGTCAGAGACATGGGATAGGGGGGATTGGGGGTGGGCTGGGTATTTTATTCCCTATTTTTTTGCAGAGATTTTTAAAAAGATTATGTTTAGATTTTCAAAGGTGAATGTGGAGTTGGTCGTCCATATCAGTCTTGATTTTCTCCATTCTATGAAAGGGCAGAGGTGGTGGAGTAATTATGCTTTTCTTTAGGTTTTTTCTACTTAAGAGTCAAGGGTGGGTCCAACAAAAAATAAGAATCTGGGGTGACATCTTGTAACCTGTAATGAGGAGAACTCTCTAGTTATAATTTACAAAAAGGAGCTCTTAGATAGAGGTCCAATTTCACTTATGTCATCAGAAGTGGACTATACCAAATTTTCTAAAAATAAGAAGAAAAAAACTATACAACGAATGCATTAGGTTTAATTCATGGAGCATCGATACACCTGGTGCACTGTAGAATTTTCGAAGACTTTTAAGTCTCCACATGTCACAACCCGATCCTAGATTAATATTTAATTATTAATTTATTCAAGTAAAAGATGAATTTGCCCTCAGAAATAATTTAATGGTTTAAAAGTTGACTTTTTGACCGGGGAATAATTTGAAGATTTCATTTGTGCCATTGCGTAGATCGCGTCGAAATGAGTTCATAGACACATAGTGGGCTTGAATCCAAGTTTTATCGAGAAAGATACGATTAAAATACTAAAAATGGCAAAATCGTAATCCGAGTTTAAGGGGAAATATTTCAAGATGGAGTAATATTTTTTTTTGGGTTAAATAAATTTTTTTTATATGCAAAGGAATTACTAAGACAATCAATGCGGGATCTACGGAAACACATATTGCACCGGTCAATAAAAAATGACACGTGAAAAAGAGATATTCCTTAAATCAACTAATTATCCTAATTAAATCCTATTGAGCATTTGTCCATTTTAGTAATTTGTAACGTTGGGCAAGGAGCTTGCTGTGGACAGCTATCTTTAAGTAGACTTTGAAGTCTTCGCATGCAAACTCATGATGATTGACTCACACAAAAAGACTGTCAAGTCTTTTCAATTTTTTGGTTCCACAAAAAGACTGTTAAGTCTAAATACTTGAGTGTAAACTAGACTTTTAAGTCTTTGCACATCCACATTTAACTCAAACGTCAACAAATGGTAATTTCTTTTTTTCCTTTTGCCTTTTCAGTTGCTCAATTATTTTATTTTAGCATTTTTATGTTTTTCTTTCTTTGAAAAGCCAACTGGTCGTAGAAACAAAGCTTCGGGAAATTGTTTTTCCACTTGCAAATTTCCACGAACTTGAAAGGCCAATAAGCTGTTCGGGAATTTCTTTGGAAGCTACAAGGGTGTGCCATTGTAGTGTTTTCAAATGAAAGATTGAAAAGTGAATATGAAGGACACGGGTGAACAAAAGGAAGAGAGACTCACCACTTTAATTCATGTCACTATGTGTAAAAAGATAATTGGAAAAAATTTGTCAGTGGTCCAAGCAAATAAGTAATAAAACAATGAATATTGGGGAAATTAATGAATGAAATCGAAGACTTGTGACTTAGACTTGATATGGTGATTTGGCTTCTAACGTGTTCTCCAATTGACTTGCATGTATTGACTTGACTTGACTTGACTTGGTAAGGTGCCTTCCCGTGTCCACTCAACTATTGGCTTTGCATCCCGTCCCTTTGGGAACAAGTTACAAATATCTTCTTGCAAATGTGGACTTGACTATGGTGATGATGATTACGAAAAACTTAAGTATATTAGTGTTGGATATCTGATCATAGAGTTTCGGAGCAACTTCCTTCATTTTGCCTTCGGATTCTTTGACTTGATTTGTTTGGTTGTTCGTTAAAAGATTAGTATATGAATTACTTGGTCCCATTCTTCTGGACTCCTGTGGTCAAAGGAAATTGTGGTCACTCACCCTTAGATATAAATTATAATAGGGCTTGTCCAATATAGATCCCTACATTTTCTATTTCCTTAACATATACCCATCACTATATAAATCTATGTGTAAAACCCAATTTCAAATTTAAATGACTAGTATGATATAAGAGGTCGTAGTATTTCTATGTTTTTACATCATTGCCACCAAACTTCATATTTTATTTATAATTTATTTCAAGCATTTCATTAACTGCCATAATTGTAATTAATATACTCCCTATTAATAGCATATCAATTACCCCATTTCTTTTAGTTGTCATTCTCCTCTCACATCTCGCCCCCTTAAAAAATACAAAAAAAAAAAATATCCAATAATGTACCTATAAAAAATATAAATATAAATATATAGGTATATTATTAAAACAAAAAAAAAAAAAAAAACAAGTTACTTTGTAATTGCGTATATTTTTCATAATTAAAAATAGGTACACAATAATTTATATAAAATATAGGTACATTATTTACCCACAGGTAAATTATTTTACACTATACCTGTAAATGTGTATAGGTACATTATTTGGAATAGATAATTATGTACACTTTTCATACTAGGTAAATTATGTTTTTCATAAAACAAACAAGTAATAGGTACATTATTTTTTCAACATAATTAGTATGTACAGTTTTATTAATAAACAATTATAAAGTGGATTATTAGTCATGTATAATTCATAAAAAGAAAATAACATAAACATTTTATTAAACAAACCGATTACCTAAATTTGAATTTATTGTTAAATTTTTTTAAAAATGTTTCAAAATTAAT